CTCATAACATCAAAAAGCTAGCTAGCACACAAAATATTCTTGTTCAAAGAGTGAAACACCAAACTTTCTCTAACACTTCATTTCCTAGTACTTGAGAATCTTGAAGTCCAATACTTCTCTATTTCCTCTGCTGTTCTTCCAGGAATTCTTCCAGCAATTAAAGACCACCTAAAAAATAACATTGATTTATAAGTTTGATCTACAAATGTTTATGAAAAGATTAGGGAGTTTTAAGTATTGAAAAGGAAATTTCCTTACCTCTCTCCAACCAGTTTATACATCCTCATGATAAGAGTTTCTTCATCTTCAGAAAATTCAACTTTGGAAGCTTTACCGTGTTGCTCTTCAGAAAATAAAATAAAATCACCCATCACTGAATCTTAATGTTGTGTGTCATATTCGATTTCAAGATCATGAAGAAAAGTAGCTAACTTCCAATTTGTTATTAATTAAGCATAATGTATCAGGTCAATTCTTATAGACTCACGTTATTATTTGATACGTGTAAAAACATTTTTGACAATAAGTATATTTTCATTACAATTTCCACAACCATACACATGTCAAATAATCGGTAAATAATAATTTAGTGTTTACCAAAAACGGTAGAGTCAGTGTGCTTAAATACCCATGTCCCTTTGTTACATTTTCTTAATCATAGACCGTGCGTGCAACTATAGAACCAAGAAAAATGGCCAGAATAATAAGATTCAGAAACTACATATTCAAATGTACTGTTCCATCAGAAAAGAGTGACTTAGAACTTAGAACAGATAGAACTGCAAAGATTAGTGGGTGTGTACTTGCATGCATACAATAAGAGAGCATGATTCAACCACAGCAAGAATCAATCTAAAAACAGTAAATGTATATCCTCCTATTAATTCTTCCATTACTTCATAAACATCATATTAAATAAAACACTAAATACATTTAATTTAATATCTAAAAAGCATACAAACATTCAAAGTTTTTTTTCTCTCTATATAGTAAGAGTATTAATAAGAATATTATAAAAGATATATAATTATTCAACTAAAAAACTACATGCATTATAAAAAGAATAGACACAAAAGGGATACCGGTTGAATATGAAGAAACTGCGTGATCCATGTCGGCCATATTGGAACGAGTAGTTTAATGAAAAGAGATGTGTGGTTTGAGTGTGGTGTATTGAAGACTCGGAGAATGAAGTGGGTTTCAAGATGAGGTTATTGGGTTGTATTAATAGAAGCAATTGTTGTTCAGAGATGGAAACAGAAGAGAATGGTAGTTGAGTTCAGGTTGACCCTTTATCTTTCTTTGGTAGTTGGACAATTCATTGTTAGTCGAAAGCAACTTCTACTTTTGTACACGAGCAACCGTGTCACTGTAAAATGCTCTCAGCTTCTCACATAGACATCATTTATCACATAAAAAAATGTGTCTAGATTTTTCAAAAACAAAAAACTACAACTTTTAAATGTTTAAGATTAGTTCGATATCAACGAAAATTGAAAAAGAAACTAATCAGAATTTAAATAAAGTTATTTACATTTTAAAAAAATTGAGATAAACTTAATTAAAAATTTCAATTGTTAAATTTTCATCTTAAAGTTATAATTAAGATTATAATATTTTATAATTAATCAATTACGCAAATTTTCAGCTGAATAGAGCAGCAGTACTGCAAAAGATCTGTTTTGTTCATTTTGAAGCTCATGAGTCATGAACAGATCCAAATATAAGCAAAAATCCATGAAAAAAATGATAAAATAATTCATTCACCATATTGAATTATATTCCCTAACGGTAACATGACTACCAGTCAAAATTGAAGTGAGTTATTATATAATATAATTGATATTTGGACTTTGCCCTAAAAAGAGAGATATTCTTCAACGGAGACGAAGATATTTTTACTTTATAACGTGAAAAAGAAAAAGTGTTTTTACATTTAGCATTGGCATTGACAAAAGACAGAAGGCAACATTGGAGCATGCATGCTTGGAAAAAGACTTGACATTCCTTTCTTCAATGCCTGTTCTCATTTTCTCAATTTCATTTACTTCGCATATATATCTCTCCAAAGCTGCACTCAGTCTAATTTGTTCCCTGCATTTCCTGATTAATAGTTTTGTAAACCTGTTTTAACTTGATCAACTATTATGTCCTTAGTTTTAAGGATTTAAGTTAATGTTATGCATATATTCAACCCCAATTAACATAAAACAATATACCTTAATATAGGATTTCTTCTCTGTTTACGTTAACTAAACTCAAGGAATAGCAACATCAGTTAACACATCCAAATGCAGTTTGACAGTTGAGGATACACGTGTACGTGTTGAGAAACATGACACGTGAGAGAGAGTTGAGATAAAATGAGAAACAATGGATGTTATGAGTAAAGGTGTATGATAATAGCTAATCTCAAACTAATCACACGTGCAGATATCTAATCAATTCCTAAGTAATTAATCTCTATCTAACCACTTTAGCAATTCTCAACTTATTATGAACAACTCAACAACCCGTGTAATGATAAAAAGGATTGAATACCTAGTTTGAATAAATCATTTGGAAGAAATTATGGTAAAGTACGAGAATATTGCATCTTCATAGTCTTGATTAATAAAAACTAATATTTAGCTATATTTTAAAATTAAAAACTTAATAAAAAATTAGTTTTATATCATTTTGTGATTAATCAATCAAGATGATAAATACACAGTGGTTCTGAACTATACAGTAAGTTTTTTTGAACAGGTTATTAGAAAAATTAGACCCATCCATTAGTAACTAATTAATGAATTATTATATTTCTATTTTCTCGCCCCTTGGCTAGACAAATGTTTAATTGGACCGAATTCTCTTGAATTTCACACATTTTCAGTGCACTTACAAGAAAGAAAATTTTATCCTACAAAGTACAAATACAATGACACTATTCTTATAAAATCTCCGATTCTGTGACCCTCCGATTTTATTTAGTAAAATGAGTTAAAAATTGTGAGCATTTAACTTTTAATTATAAAATTAACTGTAAACTTGTAATTAAAAGTTTATAGCTATATAAATAATTTATATTTATAAATTATTTGACAAATTAATTGTACAACTGACTAATTTATGTTAAAAAATTAAAAATATGTAATATTATATAAATATAATATTAAAATTAGATATCACTTATTTTACTTATTTACTATTAAATAATTAATTATATAACAATAAAATTTTTCTTTATATATATTTTGAATATAAAATATTCTGTTATATTTTTTTAATATAAAACATATTTAGATAAAAAATAAGAGTGAAAGTGAAAAGAGAAAAAAAAATGAAATTAATGTATATATAGAGTTTTAATTATATAAAAATTGTCTTAAAAAAATAAATGATAAAAATGTAATAAAAATAATGATAAATTATTTTTGAAAATTAAACACTAATTAAATAAATTTAAAAAATTACAAGTTGCTTTAATTTTAATTTACAAGCTACCCTTACTAAATATATACTAAAATATCTGACTCTTGTTTTTGTTCATATACTGACAGCAACTTAAACGACTACAGCTAAAACAAATCAAGCCCGTATAAGAATTAATGACTTGGGTTGAAGGAAAACCCATATTCATAAAGCTGCCATTAAAATTACAAATTTTGCTATTTCACGTTAATACATCGTATTGAAGATATAGGTAGCAATAATAGGCAGAGAGTCATTTACGGTTGTAATGGGAGTTTTTTGTCCAACGGGTTTAATTTGGACCAGTATTAAATTGCTTTATATATTATTACCATTGCTGTTGTTTTGCGTTTATTATGAAAATAATTTTAGTGAAGATAATAATTATTTCATATATTATTTATCTAATATTTTCTATGGGAATTGATAATACATTTTATTTGTTTTTTGAAAATTTTAAAGTAAATGCTTAAAATTTTGTGTAACAAATTACAGCGACAAAAGAGTAATTATGATATTTTCTGAAACAAATTACAACTCCAAATAAAAGAAACATAAATACAAAAAATTACTAGCACGTCAATATTTTTTTAGTACTTTTATATACAGTATCAATTATAATCTCTTGAGTACAATAATTATAAAAATATATTAATATGCTTCATTTTTTTAAAGAAGTTGTCAAAATACAAAGGCTTTATATATATATATATATATATTTAATTACTGAAATATAATTTTTTTAATAAAATTATAAAAATATGACTTTGTTTTTAAAAATTATAAACGGCAACTTTTAACTTTTTCTTTTAAAAATCGCTGATGGCTTTTATTACTTTTAATATATTTTATTATTATTTAGAAAATCGTTATTAACATTTTTTTAATTTTTTTTATTATTTTAATTTTTTTTTAAAAATCATCATTGACAATTTTTAAAATTTTTAATACTTTTATTTTTTTATTTCGGAGTTTTGTATTTGCACTAAAAAGTTTCATTAAAAAAATTTTAAATTTTATATTTTCATAATTTTTCAAAAAATATCATAATATACATAACATAATTCACAAATAAATACATTAAAAATAAAAAATTAATGTCTTTTTAATATTAAAAAATCAAAAAAGTTACAACTTTCTAAGTGACAGTTATTATCATGAAAACTTTATGAAAAAAATTAAAATAATTACAATAACTTTATTTTAAAATATTGAAGAAAGATTTAAGTATAAAATCATAAATACAGTTAATATTATTTTTCAATCAGAATTAATATTTTATTTCGGTAATTATTACTGATTTTCATCTTTTAAAAAAATAAATTTTTAGTTAGCCGAAGTATCGATTTTCATTGCATCAACTTTACAGGTGTCCCATTTTAAGCGGGAAAAATAATTTTCCCACGCGGTGAAAATAGCAGTATTAGTGGTAGACGATGCTTACGATTGCATGATTTCTTTCTAGTAAATCTCATTTTAAAATTAGTTTAATGTTCAACCAATAAAAGACAAAAATATATATTCGTATCAATTTCGTACCAAATAGTACTCTTAGTTGTAGCATAGATATTGAGTTTTTAGCTATGCAACTAAACCTCTCGTATAATAAAAGAGCACAGAAAGAAGAAAATTGACCCGCAATAGGATTGTTCCATCTTCTACAACTACAATCCATATATAAGCAAGAGTCGATCCGCAATACGAAATTGAGATAGGGCTTTGATTCCTCGTATCTTTTTGTGTCGTACGAGGTAGGTGCAAACTTCCACTGGATTTTGATGATGACATCTAAGTGTTTGATGAAATGCCCATCTATTTTTTTTTTCTGATTGCAGATTGAATGGAGATGCTTAGAAAGATGGCGTACAGTACCAAAGTGGACCTGAGGAAACTCCGGCCCATGATTCTGAAGAGAATCGAGAAACGGGCACAGGCTTACCCGGTTCGGGCCATGGTTCCGGTTGCTAAGGAGGTCCTTCTTGCCAGGAATGTTCTCATCAATGGCGTTTCCACCCTCCTTAACTACGTTCCTCTCATGGCTTGCAAGTGAGTATTTTATTTTTATTTTTCTTTTTTTGGGTTGTACATGTATTTCTGATTTCTATAAGTGAGGCATATTTTTTTCCCTTTTAGTCATTGTGCTGGTAAAATGTTTTCAATTTTATCCTATATCTCTAATAAATTTCAATTTGTTTTTCCCTGTAATATGAACTTTAGTGTCACAAAATGAGACCAAAACATAGAACATAAGAGAGTTTTTTTTTTATTTGTATCCTTTCATGATGTTGAGAAACATGATGTGGTCTTGTTCTAGAGAGAAAAAAACAAGTTTGATCAAACAATGACTCATCGTGATTGGTTGTAGGATCTACTAATTAAATTTAATTAAAAAAATGTCTTTCTTTCTCCAACGTGGTTGTATCTTCTTACTCAAATAACAGCAGAGGAGCCAAATCCTTGGTTCTTACATGTGATGGTTATTTTTTAATTTTATCCTTATATTGGAGCTTAACTCCGTGCCAATCTTATGGAGTTATAATGGCAACAAACGGGGTGAAGGAATTTCAAAACAATTGTATGTATAGGGATTAAATTATTATTATTTTTTTGTGTGTAAAGGTGATACCGAAAATGAATGCTAAGCACAGGACCATAAATTTCATGGTTAAAGAACTGAACATTGATAACATTAGCTTGTTAGAACGTATGTGAGTGAACACTTGTACTTCTTTATGGTGCTTATAAATGATAAACGTTATCATTAATGATGAGTTGGTCATTTCTACTTAAGTATTTTTCACAAGTTTTTCTCCTGGACTTTGATCTTTAAGAGTTATTGCCATTTAATCACAGTCAGTCATTAATTAATCAAAGGAACAAAGTTTGCATCAGTGCAGTTGTATTTTACTTGGACTTGTTTTCCTAATGTTGTGAGCTCAAGTTTTTGAAAGCACTAGTCTTATCATCATATATTATGCATTTGCAGATTCTGTCCAGAGATATATATTGGTGAGCAGGGGCATTTAATTCAGACTTGCTGGGGTTACAAGCATCGTGCCAAGAACCGGGTTCATGAGTGGGTCAAAGGTGGTTTAAATGACATTCTTGTTCCTGTTGAAACTTTTCACCTGAACAACATGTTCCAAACTGTTATCACACACAACCAAAGGTTTGACTTTGATCGAATCCCTGCTGTTGTTGAGCTATGCTGGCAAGCAGGGGCTGATCCCCATGATGAAAACCTTAATTCAACTAGTTCGAACTTGGAGGCTGCCAATGGAAATGTCCCCGAAACCAAGTCTTTGTCACCTAATGATCTTACCTCTATAGCGAATAAAACAGTCACTGCTTGGGAGACTCTTAGGTCTGGGGTGGAGAAGTTGTTGCTGGTTTATCCAGTAAAAGTTTGTAAATATTGTTCTGAGGTTCATGTTGGGCCATCTGGCAATAAAGCTAGGCTTTGTGGGGTGTTCAAGTACGAGAGCTGGAAAGGAACTCACTTTTGGATGAAAGCAAATGTAGATAATTTAGTGCCCCCAAAGATTGTATGGAGTCAAAGGCCTCAAGATCCTCCTATACTTGTGAATGAAGGGAAAGCATTCTACGGGCGAATTCCGGCTGTATTGGATCTGTGCACAAAAGCTGGTGTTGCTGTGCCTGCAAAGTATAATTGTATGATGAAAGTAAAAGGTTTGTCTGGTCCTGCCAATCATAGATTTGGCAGAAGCATTATAGAATCAGACTTGTCAAAGCAACCGTGAGTTGACTTGCAGATCTAATTGAAATCAGGCACCCAATCAGGGACAGTTTGGGGGAAAAAATTGAGATGTCATTACTCTCAATTGCAATTTCCTGCATCAGTTTAAGGTTGGCTGCCATATCTGATTATGGATCCATGTGCCTGTTCTGTTGCGTACAGCAAGAAATTTGGTTCCCATATCTCATATCTGCCAAAATATTTCTGCTGAGGAAATCAAAACCTCTACATATATGTGGCTGGGTTTAATGGACCTGCTCCTCAGGTTGGAAGAAGGTAATTAGATATTCTACTTCTCAATCGGAGATCCTATTATTTTTCCGTTTTGATTAATTTTGTTCCTTGAGGAATCATGAATCCATAATTGCTGGAAATATTAACACGGGAGATACTGCATTCTTGGTGGTAAATGTAATTGTTCATTTATGTCAAAAATATCTCATGAATGGAAGGATTGCTTTCTTAACAAATTCTTGGTTAGCGTATCCAGATTTTTGTGTTATTTTTACCCATGGTTTAATTCACTATTCAGTTTTTTAACCAGTTGCTATTTTTTATTGGTTTAGTGTACACCAATAGGAGTTGCAACTCTGAAAAATAGCTGGTAATAAGTTTAATGAATTCAAAACATAAGAAAAATAGAAAAGAAAATTTAGTTTATTCCATCTCCCTCACCGCTGAGCGATTAATGGATGCTATTTTGGGAATGTAGGAGGAATTATTTGAATGGACTAATGTTATAGTGTATTTTTTTAAAATATTTTATAAAGAAATATTAAATGAAAATAAGTGTATTTAATATCTTAAAAATATAAATATTTAATACTTTTTTTATCTACAAAATAGTAGAACTAGTAAGAGAATGCTCTAAGAAGATTTAGAATTATTTTAATGAAAATTTAAAATTAACTCAAGATGAGGTGTACGGGTTACTGGAATTTTAAACTAAAATAATGTGAACATTGCATATCGTTATTAAGTTTTATATCTCAGCTATATCCTGAGTGAATGTTAAATTTTTATTAATTTACCTTCATATTTATTTTTCTTGATTCTTTATTTTTGCCTTGATTTTGATTTTGTTGTCAAACATAAATCTGAGTAGAAGAGAAACCTATAAGTTGTTAAAAATGATAACTAGTCTTTAGGAGAGAACCTGAGATTGGCCACTTGTTTTCTCTTTACACTCTCAATCTACCCATTATATTTGTAATTCATCTGTATAGAAGAAAAATTAAAGAAACACTGAACGGCTGTATTTACTTTGATTACGGAAAAGACGTACTTGGAACTTTTTTTAATATATTTCCCGAATCACCTGCATCAGCATAGAATATAGCTGTAAGGTTTATTACGTCATTCCCACATTTTGTACTCAATTGAACTGAAGGGATTCCCACGAAATTACGGGATTTGCCTTAACTATTAAGAAGAGAAAAAAATGAATATTACAGTTCAAGCTCGCTGCTATTCCGATTTCAGATGTTGTTTGTCACTGATGACTCATCATCTATTTGATTAATTCTAATAGTAATATTTGAATTCTGAGCTTAACAAATTCTATTGAATGAACATCTAATGAGGAATGAACAAGAAACTGATAGAATTCTTGTGTTTTTTTCTTTCGAGATTATTGGTTCTAAATGAGCTATTGATTGCTGTTAACAAACTATGTGCATCAGAATATCATTTTATTACAACGGGCAAAAGTACGTAGACAGCAGATTTTGCGAAGGAGGTATTACCGGTGCATTTAGATATATAATTTAATCAAACTTTTTTTCAATGTGAAAATCACATAAACTTTCTATATATTTTTTCTAAATGTCCATCGTATGCTTAAACAATATTCTTAAGCATACGCAATGTTTTTTCACAATAAGTCTGATAAAACATGTAATGCATAGACAAACCTCATTATTATAAATTAAAGCTCATTCGTACCCATTTCGACTGACTGTCCCTTTAAACACATAGAGACAGTCTCCGTTTTCAACTCCATGCCATCGAAGGCTACAGCTATCACGCATGATCCTCTGCCTGTGTATAAACACATAGTTGTCAAGTGGCAATATTTTTCTGCTTAATAGTAACTGCTTCAAGTCATTGACAGTGCTTGCATCTCTCATCTCCAATGGAATGGTGGCTGCATTAAGCAAACTAGATGAAGTTTGCACCACCAAGCTTAACTTTCTTGTAGGAGGTTCTTCTCTTGATCGATTCATGTTCTTGAGGAACACAACAATTTCAGAAGATTCACGTATTCCATATTCATTTAAGTTTCTAAAGTCTTCATCCAATTCTGTCCCTGAAAAGAAAAGTGACATTCTTTTGATGGGTGTGCTATCAATGATGTGAATTTTTTCCTTTAAGCTACGAACAGTATCTGTTCTATCCACCTCTATGTTAATCTTTCTAGCTGAAAATTTTACTGTGATTTGCATTTTGTTAGGATGTGTCTCCATTGTTTTGAAGGAAAGATCAACTTTTGTACCTTCAGTCACTATTGGGTAATCTTCCATGTCCAATCCATCCAATAGTTCCCACCCAGAAACGGTTAGGACTTGTGAAGCCACTGGAACCCCATGGATTTGTTCTATTTTCCTCTTGATTTCAACAACTGTTTCTTGGATACCTACTTCAATGAAAAATTGGTTTGTTCTTGTGACAATAGCAACTCTCATAGTGGAACTAATTTGGAGAGGAAAATGAAAAACGAACAAAAAATTTGAGCAGTTTTAATTCAACTTCCAGGAAGAGTACGTCCAATGTGTCAGTAACAAATTATGAAGAGACTTTAAATTTTTGTTAGTTAGCCTCATGAAATTATGAATGCAAATGGATGTAAATTGTTGAAATCATGTTAAAGATATGAGCATTTTACATGTTTACGGAATGTGGGGCTCAATATCATGCATAATATATCTCTATGTATGTGTGTGTGGCTATATACATGCCTTCTCAGGGATGTCTTTAAAACTGCATTTCCGAAATTGATTAGTAACTGGGTAGTTTTAATCTACAATAGAAACACCAGAATAAAACAAAGAAAGCTAGAATTGTGTTTTATCACAAGTTAGCAATTTTAGAATCGTTTTACTGAGATAAATATATGGTTGAAGGTACATAGAGATTTTTGCACAATACAGTATATTAATCAATAATCATTCTGCAATAATTTAGGTGATGGTTTCGTAGCATATTAACAATTTAGAACTTCCTAGCCAAGAGCCAATCCCAAAGAGTACTAGACATCCTTTGCTGACCTACACCTACACGGTCCAATTAAAGTCATAATTGCCTTCATGCCATTATCTTTCCTCTTTCAATAAATAATTTTGGCATAGGCCCTATTTCTCTTTCCCGATCAACAACTTGGGCCACATTTTACTTGCATGAAATGCAAAATGAGACCAAAAAAAAAAAACCGGCAAAAGAAAATAAAGCGTAAAAGCTCACACAAGAGGAAATAATGGAGTTCTTACATCCTTGATAGTGGTTGACCAAAAAACCAAACATGCTTGCTAGTGAAAATTGCAAGAAACTCATATGGTAAATATGAGACATAGCTCTAAAAAACGAAAGGATTTCTCTAGTCATTATACATTTGGGTCTGTTTGTATTAATTCGTAACTTCCGTTTTGAGAATTTAAATCTTTTTTACTTCTACTAGATGTGATTCATAACGCATGCTCGAATAATTTCAACCGTTGGTTTTGCTTCATAACAGAAGCTCCATTGGATGAATGTTAATCCAAACAAGTTCAAAATTAGGGACAGTTAATTTGGTGCTAGTTATGAGTGAAAGTGATTAAGGAGTCCTAAAATTTAGTGAGTATATCAGAAATGAGCATAACAAGCTTGTTACATACAATTGTGGCATAGTGATTGATGGAAATCCAACAACAGCATTGACCGGTAGGTACAAAGGTAAGAGTACAGCGAAAGCAAATAGAATTATCAAAAAATAATCGTATGTAGCATGTCACTAACATGATTAGTATGATTATTTTTGCTATACACACAACTTATGAGAAAGGATAAGTAGAGCTCCAACAAAAAAGATGACAGGTTCGTGACAGGAATGCAACACAAAAAGGGTACTAAGACATTGCATATGACCTCGTTGCCACTCTCGTTTAATATCCATTCATCTGTCTTAACTCTAAATCGAATAAATCTGGGTCCTATGTAACTTCTTGTTTTGGTATTTTTATGCCATATAATAATGTAGCATGCATGCTCCACTTCAAACCACTCCATTTGGGGCCCAACATATAGATTAGACATAAACAAGTTCATGTACTAGTTAGATGGAAAAGCTGTGCATCTAAGAAGCAATCAAGCATATCATGTGACTTTCTAGTTTTTACCATCCGCTCAACATATTTGAGAAATTGAGTTTGATGTATGTAATGTTACCGTAAGAAATTTCTTAAGCAATCGTCACTCGTAATAATTTTACTTTTAATTTACATTTATCTAACAGTTATTTGACACTAGCTAGCTTCATAACATCATTACTTTTTACACTACATCAAATAACATATCATGAAAATTCTTCGTTCCGAAAAGCTTTATGGGTTTAAAGCTTGTTTAGAAAGAACCGATACTATTGAAAAATTTTCCTTCTATATTATGCTGAATAAAAAAATGGACCATCATTTGTAATAATTATGATGTATTACTTTTAACAAAAGTTTTTCATTCATTTTTTGAAAGCTCCTGTGGGACTTATCTTCATTTGAACATTGAAGTTGCTTTTTCATAATTTTTTAGGCAGGTATAAACTCTATACATAACAAAACTCCTTAACTGTTGAATCCAAACTAAGCAAAAGTTTCAAAGACAACATTATGCAGCAATATGCTTGTAATGTACACATCTTTATACCTAATCAAAAGTGGTTGTTGTTAAAAAGAAAAACTTTCATAATATTCAAAACTTTTCGTGAGGTAGTAACTAGAGATGTATCCAAGTTTTTCTTAGGATAAGAAATTCTTCTAAAGCTGTATTGCTATCTGTCTTTGTTGGAGGACACTTTACGATGTATCCTACACTTTGGCTAGCAAAGGTGCCTCTTGTTCGACATTACAGAGCGAATCAATTTTAGACAAGTATGCAAGTAAGCACAAAAACATCAAGCTTATTGGACAAGAAGGAACAAAATATATGGATTTTATTTTATATTTGATGAATTTTTAAAATTAAAAAGAATAAACAAAAATGAATGAATTAAAAAAGTTGTCTCTATTCTCTTCTCACGTCAATCGTTACTCAAGTTACTGTTGATCAAAGGATGAGCTTTATTTTCATTCTGCTGAAAAAAGTTGGTAAAGAGAAAATTATTCTAAACATAAGTTTTTTTTTTTTTTTCGAATCTAACGTTTTCAAAGTAAGGAAATGTGGATAGTAAGAAAATAAAAGTTATCTATCATTGATTTAAATTTAAATATTTTGTAAACATAATTCACTTTAGATCAAAAGTGAATAAGCACTCACTTTTTTATTTTTTACATTTTCTTCCTTTAAGAGAGTAAAATTCTTTTTATATACATAATTAAATTATTTTTTATATCCATCGAATTATAGTAAAAAGAAAAGTGCAACTAAAAACTATTTAGTGTAACAAAGATTTACAGTTTAACCTTGAGTTTTGAATTGCAAGGAGTGTGATTTTAAATCAAAAGGCTAAGAATTTTTAAAGCATTCAATTAATCATTATCTTTTACTAAACAGTGTTTATTAATGATTGAAATTTCTATCATTATTTAATAACCGATCTTGCTGACTGGTCTTAAAATTGATGTCAATTTGTGGGCCATTGACTCATGACTGACATTTCCTTGTGGCTCGTGCTGAAAAGTGATAGAGCCGTAGTTCTCACTTTCAAGGCAGGTGAATTAAGAAATCAATGTGCATTGCATGATTGCTTGAATGGTAATTGTTGTGTACTCGTGAATTTAATCCAAGTCACAAATCTAAAATCGCTGCCTTGAAAGAAAATTTGCCTGCCAAATTCTTATTCTTCAGCATTTTGTAAGAACCAAAAGAATGTGCCTATTCACTACATGGGGACCCCTTGGGCTGCTTTTGTGAATATGTTATTATATAACCAAGAAACAGTATCATTGGGACGAATGAACAAACTGTTTTTGGAACTTTATGATCTTTATTTTAACTTTTCAAAGTTCCAGGCTGGAAATTATGACTCTATCTTGAGACAAAGAATCATGGTGATGAGTCTTTGAGTGCCACTTACCATACATGTAAATATGTAATGGAGTATTTGAGGGGTCACCTAATTGCTTGACATAATGGTCCCCCAATCAGGTAATCACTGGAAAACCTTTTGGAAGCAAATTTTTTTTTTGAACAAGGAAGCAATTATTATTTTTATTTTTGAATAAAATTGTTGACTTTTGCTAGCAATATATATATATATATATATATATATATATATATATATATTTGTGTGATTTATTTATGCCTTAGAAACAGTTGCATGGGATTCACACACATGCATTTAGCTGACTCTGGAAAAAAATGATTATGAAGTATCTAGGATGTTTTTTTTTCCGACTTGTAAAATTAAAAACAAATTTTTAAAATATGGTTTTTTTGAAATTATTTCCCTGTTTGGGGTGTATCGATACGTGACACTAGTTTCACCAAAACAGTTAACAAAAATATTAAATTATTATTTTTTAAAAATAAATTTTGCTACCAAAAACGTGAAATAACCTGATATGTGTCAATATCTGTAAAATTTCATAATATCATTGGTTAAATTAAATGTCAGTTTTACCATACAGTGCGAAACTCTCATATGGTGACACATGTCACAATCTAAATAAGTTTCGTTATGAAAATTATACAACTTGCAAGAATGTGACACAACACAGTTTTAGACTATTACACAAATTTACCTTCATTAATTTTAATAACATAATCAAACTAAATCTGATTTAAATTTAGATACAAATTATTATCACATTTAAAATAAAAATTAAATTACTAACATTTTACCAAAAAATATTTTTTTGATTTACATATAAATTCAAATTACATCTTAATTAAACAAATTTAAATCACTAACATAATTAAAATTATTGCATTATATAATCCGATCTCATATAATAATAATAGATTTATAAACTATCATGATTATATTATAATATAACATGTTATTGTACTATTGTAAGATATTATACTATTTTTAAAAAATAAAATTTTTCAATACAACATAATAATAACTATTATTACTGCTCATATTAAATAATATATTTTTTACGTTATATAATTTTTTTTGTAATATATAAAAATAACGTTAATCTAAAAATTAAAAATATTTATGTTCATACATTTCAGCATTTAAATTTTATTTAAAGTAAAAAAAATTATTTTTAATCTTATTTTAAAATTAATTTAAAATGTTAAAATTATTTTTTAATAGTGTTAATATTTATTATCTATTTTATATAATTTGTAAATACTAATTTTTAAATAAAAATACTTTTTAAAATAATATTAAATGAGAATATATGTAGATGTATTTTTGAATAAGGGTAATTTTAAGCATTGATTTTTTATTATCATGTTAAATAGTTTTTGCACATGAAATATTTTTGTATTTTATATTGATTTTAATATTTTTTTATAATTTTATTAATATAATAAAATATTTATGGTTAATAATTGTAATATTTTTTTAAATTTCTAAAATATATTAAATTTAAAAAAAATATGTACTATATTTTTAATTATTCATTTAAAATAATTTAATTTAATTTAATTTAAAAATATTAATATATTACATGAAAAAATTAATAGATTTGTATGTAAATATAAAAAAATATTTTCTTGTATTATGTTATTATTTTTTTAAAATTTTAATGTAATCATAATTGGTATCTAATTATAAAATTTTTAATTATGTTAGTGATTTAGATTTATTTAATTAAGATGTAATTTAAATTTATATGTAAATAAAAAAATATTTTTTAGTGGAATGTTAGTAATTTGATTTTTATTTTAAATGTAGTAATAATTGGTATCTAAATCTAAATTATATTTGATTTGATTATGTTATTAAAATTAATAAAGATAAATTTATGTAATAGCTTAAAATTGTGCTACTCATACAAGTTATGTAATTTTCATGATAGAATTTATTCAAATTATGACATGTGTCACTGTATGAGAGTTTTGTACTGTCTGGTTAAACTGACATTTAATTTTACTAATCATAATGCTAAATTTTATAAATATTGACACATGTCACAATCTGGTTATTATGCATTTTTTGTGGTAAAATTTATTTTAAAAAATAAAAATTTAATATTTTTGTCAATTATATTGACGAAAATAATATCACATAGACTGACACACTTCAAACTGAAAAATAGTTTAAAAAATCATATATTAAGAATTTGTTTTTAAATTTATAATATTTAAATAAAAAGGCTTTTTTTTCTATGATGTTGATAATTCAGAAAATGACAGTCATTTTATTAACAAACGTATAAAATTGTCTTATCATTTTCTTATTCTAAATGTTTACAGAATTCCAAGGATAAATTTGCATATAATATTGGAGCACAAGCACTGTACAAGGACATTGGTGTCTTCACCTGGCTGCCGACAACCTTGTGTCCTATTAGAAAAATGAACATAAAAGGCAATAGAATAAGCTTCAGCTCTCCCAAGAAAACAGAGTATGCAAAAAAGCATTTATTCCTTTCATTTTTAATTAAGGCATTATAAATTTATCTCATGTTACTTGCTAACGTGCAAAGTCATATTAAAAGAGAGAAAAAATAAAATCAATGGACCTTATATAAATAATTATAAATCTTATAATTATTTTTTATTATAAACCTTCATTTTAGTTTCTTTGATTAAGTTTTATTTTCTTTAACCCTTGACTTTTAATCAAATTTTGAAACATTTTTCAAATGAAGAGCTAAAGTAAAAGTTTTGTAAAGTACAAATTATAATAAATTATATTTACAATTTTAGAGACTAAAAATCAAAATGAAAATTCCCCCACACACACACATATATGGAATAACGACCACCCACTCATTTGAAAAACTGGCTTGATAAATGAATCTTTCTTTTCATTTTTCTATTTCATGATTTCATGTCATCACGCTCCTACATTTAAAAAACTGGGTCATTTTTTATTGACGGAAAACCAACCATTGGTCTATATGGAATACCCAAATTGTGGTTGATCTAAAACCTTGCATGATTTAGCGGTTTCTAGGCTTTGCTTTTTCAACAAAGCAGCTTGCTTTTGATATGCACATGGATTTGGAATCTACTTTGAAATTAACTAACATTGTTGGCGTGTGCAAAATTTATGTTACTAAAAGAAATTACATGAAACTGGGCCCATTAAATTAGGTTACGTGCAGTGATTTCCATAAAATTCACTTTAATTTGAAATGCATAGTACATATAATTTTGAAACTTTCCACCTTATGATAATGATGAGGTTTATCTTTTTCAGTATGTACATATCCGTTTGAAATTTGACCTGGTCACAATTTGACACGTACAGGCAAGTTCTGTTAGCCATGGCACTCATTAGTCACTCCATAATAGTAGCCATAATTGTCTTCCATATCTCTAACTATATCCCCAGCATTTTTTTGACTTTTAAGGCTTCCTATAATATTTTCTTTTTGGGTCAATATAGTATTAATTATAGTTAACTTCACTTACACTTAGCTTGAGATAACAGCAATATCAAGTTCTTAAATTAAACGGGGAAATGTAAATTAAACGAGTGTTTCTAGTAACTTTCTTTTACCTTTTTATCCCAAAAGAAATGAAAACTATGCATTGAGTTCCTGACTACTATATACAAAAACATTTCTCAAAATGTTTCTCAGTTTAATAATAATTTTTTTAATGTATGTTTAAAAGCATATAATAAGAATTTATATATAATTATATTTTATTAAAAACCATATGATATTACTAAATTCAATGAATTGATAACACGTATATATGTCTTTCCCGTTAGAAAAACTATTTAATGTATATGTTTATATATTTAATCACAGTGATTTAGATATACAGCATTAACCCACTGTATATGTCATGGATCCATAGGTGGCAGCAGGTAGCCACACTAATAAAATAATGGATTTATAGAATAGGAGCAGGTAAGTTTATTGTTTATTCACAAATTCCTCCTTGCAAATAGATTATAAACTGGAATTCGAAGATATCCATCGAATCCTTGTTGATATATTTTAGCCACCGCAAGAAACAGTTTAAAATGTTACTAGTATACAAGCTGATTAAATTAAAGCTATAAATATATGCACCAAAGAGGAAGATTTGGTATAGAATCCTATACTTTACGAAGGCATCAACGATCAGTATGTCTTAAATTACTAATTAAAATCAATTGAAGTGTATTAAAATTTTCAGAAATTCAATTATATTCAACTCTCTGCGTTTGTCCTAAAAGAGCATGCCCAACTAACCATTTTTTCATTAGACTACATACAATTATTACATGCAAACGGATGTTAAAGTAGCATGTAGCATCACCTTATCGCACATGTTAGTTAGCTGCATGGTCCATTTCCATAATTTACCTTGTTTCTTGCACTTCAACCAAAAGGACTATAAATCACTGGCCACTGTTGTGGGTATAACAAGATAAATGAAGTTGTCTCTTTCAAGAAGTACCTGATAGTTTATATCTATATATAGTTTCTCTTGCTGCTAATATTTGTGCAAGTCACATGAAAATGGGAAGCATTAGTAACTTGAGGGTTGTGACTCTCTGTCTCTTGGCATTAATTGCATCAACTCATGCTCAATTGCAGCTTGGGTTTTATGCCAAGAGCTGCCCAAAAGCTGAGCAAATCATTTTAAACTTTGTTCATCAACATATTCACAATGCTCCATCACTAGCAGCAGCCTTAATAAGAATGCACTTTCATGATTGTTTTGTGAGGGTATGCATTTCCTTTCATTTTCACTTAACACATACCATATCATATTGAGAAGCTAACACAGTATTTCAGGGATGTGACGGATCAGTCCTTCTGAACTCAACCACCAATCAAGCTGAAAAGGATGCTCCTCCAAATCTTACGGTCAGAGGCTTTGACTTCATTGACAGAATAAAGATCCTTGTTGAAGCTGAATGCCCTGGTGTGGTCTCTTGTGCTGATATACTTGCCTTGGTTGCCAGAGACTCTGTTGTAGCCACAGTAAGTACTCAAATTCCTATAAAAGATCCTTCATCTTTATCTTTTCTGCACTAAGAAACTGACTCATTTGCTGGCTTATGACATGGGTTTTTAGGGTGGTCCCTATTGGAAAGTTCCAACTGGTAGAAGAGATGGGGTCATATCCAACTTGGTAGAAGCCAGAAACAGCATTCCTGCTCCATTTCACAACTTCACTACCATCCAAACACTCTTTGCCAATCAAGGACTTGATCTAAAAGACTTGGTCCTCCTCTCAGGTACTACATATTAAACAAATTCCTAAGCATTATGCACTGTTGATTGTTGTGCAAGCTAAATTCAGTTCACGAGGAGTTCAAATTGTTTCAGGTGCTCACACAATTGGTGTTTCTCATTGCTCATCGTTCTCAAACCGCTTGTTCAATTTCACTGGAAAGGGCGATCAAGACCCTGCACTTGACAGTGAATATGCTAAAAATCTGAAAACCTTCAAGTGCAAGAACATCAATGACAATACCACAAAAGTTGAGATGGACCCTGGAAGCCGCAAAACATTTGATCTTGGTTACTATAATCAAGTGGTTAAGAGAAGGGGTCTATTTGAGTCAGATGCTGCATTGTTGACTAACTCAGTTTCTAAGTCTTTAGTCACTCAATTGCTTGAAGGGTCAATTGAAAATTTCTATGCTGAGTTTGCCAATTCCATGGAGAACATGGGTCGCATTAAAGTCAAGACAGGAACAGAAGGAGAGATCAGGAAGCATTGTGCACTTGTAAATAGCTAAGAATCTTGCCTTGTCTTAATGATAGATGATGTACCATCTAAGTAAAACTTGTATGATTTATTTATTTTTGGTTATGGTTGTTCTATGTGTGTTGCAATAAGTGGGTTCCATTGTTATTCTTATTTTCCTTTTTGGTGGTAGATCATGTTCTTGTTGTAATGAAGTATACAAAGCAACATGACAAAGTCAAACCAATCTAAGCTGCTTCTCTGATTTGTATACTTTTTCTGTTGTATTCTCAATTCAATGCATTTTTTTTAATGAAGATGAATATTCATTTATTTTAAACTATTCAAACCACAAATAGAGAATGGGAATGAAGTATACAAAGCAACATGACAAAGTCAAACCAATCTAAGCTGCTGCAAACTAACTACAGTGGTACGTGTCGAGTTGTATTCTATAATTGAGGACGTGGTTGCTCATTAATTGATTATTGATTAATAAATTTTATCAATTGGCTAATGAAAATATATACTGTATTCTAAGCCAAAAATTAAATGTTAATTGAACGATAAACTTCTTAAGCAATAATTGAAGACGTGCCTGGGGTTGAGAAGAAGAAAAATCGCAAATCAAGCTAGGAAATAATTTGTAACAGAGAATAATAGATAACAATTAACCAATTCAAATGTACTAAGATGTAGGTCAAGTATATATTTTAAGATATAGACATGATAAATACTGTTAAGGAGGTGTGCATGTTGCTTTTATCTATAGCTAACTCTTATATTATAAATTTGAATTCAAATATGCATATATCTTTTGTTATACTCTTTACTTTTAATACATGAATTTATTATTATCTAACACTTATTTTTATATATATTTTTCACATTATCAACTACTCTATGATTTCTTTTTACATCATGATTTTCTCTCTCTCAAAATTTTAGTTTAAATTTATTTTAACTTTTTAAATTAAAATTAAAGTTTCTGATCTTCCGGGTATACCTTACTTAGAATTTGATTACCAAATCCTTGGCTATCTGAGCACACCCTTTAAACTTTTCATCTTACAACTCTAATTAGCTTTGTTTTTAGTAGTTTGACCAATAAATTGTCTTTGTGAAAAATGGGCTTATGCTGATGGTCAATAACATAATTGTTGCACATACCTATGGTATTTACTTAATTTTCCAATTTCAAATGTGATATTTTTTTCCGAGTTGTTAGAGCTAGAAATGAACCTTATTGTTCCTTTCGGGTACAATTATAAGAATGAGAGACTTGGATGTGTTAATTCAGAGTTGTTAGAGAAATGAAGACTGGCACTGTTTCATCTTAATTAGAGATCGATGTTCTTAATATTGTTCAAGCTGTGTTTCATCAATCAGGCACTTGTTGAATGTGTTTTTGGAGTTGATCATAGAAAGTAAACGTGCGCTTTGGAGAGAGAATTCTTAGTAGGTGTTTTTTGATTGTTTCATGTAGTTTGCATGGCCCTTTCCTTATTTGGAAAAGTTGTATATCATTTTTCTCAAACATATTAGGTGGGAAAGGGTGCTGGCTAACCATGACTATTTATCCATCTTCACTGTCCGTGAAAAATGTTATTTTGTCATTGAAACGGATAAAGCCGTGCGTTATTGTTCTTCTTTCTTAGTTCTTGTTATTGTTATTATTGTTCTTTCTTGGTTCATGGTTCTTCTGCTCGCATTCTTGGTTCTTGTTATGTTATTATTTTCTTCTTCTTGGTTCTTGATTCTTCTTCTTAGTTCTTGGCTCTTGGTCTTGTTCTTTTTCTTCTTTCTTGGTTCTTGTTATTCTTCTTTTTTCTTGGTTCATAGTTCTTCTTCTCTCTTTCACGGTTCTTGTTATTATTGTTCTGCTGGGTTCTCAGTTCTTGATTCTTCTTCCTTGTTCTTGGCTCTTGGTCTTGTTTTTTAGTTCATGTTATTGTTATTATTGTTCTTCTTCTTCTTGGTTCTTAGTTCTTGATTTTTGGTTCTCCTCCTTCTTGGTCTTGGGCTCTTGGCCTGGTTCTTCTTTTCCTTGGTTATACATCTTGGTCTTGGTTCTTCTTTCTCGGTTCTTGGTTCTTGTTCTTGTTGTTCATTTTTTCCTTCTTTCTTATTCTTGGCTCGTGGTCTTGTTTTTTTTCTTTTATACTTGTTTCTTGATTCTTCTTGGTTCAGGGTCTTGCTTATACTTCTTTTTTCTTGGTTCTTGGTTGTAGTCTTGTTTATATTGTTTGCTGGTTTTAGGTCTTCTCCTTTCTTGGTTTAGTTCTTCGTCTTGGTTTTTGATATTGTTTCTTTTGCTTCTTCTGTCTTCTTTTTCTTTCTTGGTTCTTGGCTTCTTCATGTTGTTCCTCTTCCCTAGCAAGTCTCCTCCTTCTCCTTCTTCTTCTTCTTCTTCTTCTTCTTCTTCATGTAGCTCCACCAGCATTCTCCTTCTTCTTCATGCAGTTCTTCTCCTTCAGCAATCTCCTTTTTAATGTAGTTATTCAGCAATATCACCTTTCACGGTTAAGATCTTTATTTCACAGAACCGGCAAAAAAGCACTGTTGACTTTTTAATGTTTGCTGCTCTGCTTTGTTTTATATGTGTGGGCACGGTCAATGTTTAAATGATATTTTTGTTTAACAATCAGCCATCTTTATTTTTGGTTCTTGTTATCGTTATTGTTGTTGTTCTTCTTGGTTCTTGATTCTTCTTAGTTCTTGGCTCTTGGTCTTGTTCTTTTTCTTCTTTCTTGGTTCTTGTCTTTGTTATTATTGTTCTTCTGGGTTCTGAGTTCTTGATTCTTCTTCCTTGTTCTTGGCTGTTGGTCTTGTTCTTCTTATTTTTGGTTCTTGTTATTGTTATTATTGTTCTTCTTGGTTCTTAGTTTTTTATTTTTGGCATTCTTGGTCTTGGCCCTGGTTCTTGTTTTAACAATAGACCCCCTCCCCCTCCCCCTCCCAAAGCAGAGAATATACGTTGAAGATAACACAGTAACGGCAAGTTTAGGCAGTATGGATATCGATAGTTGAAGTGATAAGAACTACAATTTTCTTAGCTACTGTATGACTAATATAAACTAAATCAGTGAAGAAACTACTGTTTAAGTTTCGGATTGACATAACATGTTCTGCTCAAAATTTGGAAACAAGTCTCGAGAATCTCTCTCTGCCAAAACACATCCCAATTGCTTCTAGAAATATAAAATGAAAAAACTAGTGCAACACATGTTGCATGCAAGCAATTGTGAACCTATTTGAAAGGAGCCAAGTTTCAAAACAGCCACAAAATCCTCCAACAATGTTTCCCTTTCAACTCTATTCCTCCCATTCTTTTGGCATATTGACTCAGTCACGGTTAAGAAAGCCTCACTGTCTTCTAAAAAAATTGGCGTTCTGCATGACTTTTTACAAGTAGTGATAGCATTATGGCCCTTCTGCAATGCACTTTGAACACCTGCATCTGAAACCATAATCTGCAAGTGATGCTTGTCTCTCTTCAAACGGAAGGTCCTCATCAACATACGAGATGGTTATCTGAAAGTCCTTCCACGTGTTAATTAGTTGAACATGGCAATATATCCGAAAACATTAGAAGTTTAATGTGGTAAAATTATATATATATATATATATATATATACTGTATTTTTTTCAAGTTTGGTGTCATAAGCATCAATCATTGGGCAGCATAAAAAATAAAATCTCAGCTAAATCATTTAGTTAAAAATTATTGGCCTATTAGATATTGGCATAATGGACCTCCTCTCCTTTACAAATGGACGTCAGTGCAATTATTGTTGCTTGGCCATCTTTATCCTGCAATCAAAATATGCAAAAATTTAAAAATAAATCTCAGGTTCAATTACATCCAGCAGAGGTAAGATAAAGAGCCCTGTATGTTTTTCAAGGTTAGGACCAAACAATAGCAACATGAAAAGAATCAAGACAGAATGAAGAATTGAGACGTACAACAAAACATGTTTAGTCCTATAAAGATAAATAAATGTGATTTAATAACGACATGAGCACCAAATAGGCAGCTGATATTATATTCTGAACTTATGTTGCTAATTAATTGTTATTAAAAGATTAAGATTACTTAAGTAATTTGTGACAATATGAGAAGGCCAAATGCTTAACTAACAAAGCATGCATAAAAGGAGAACATCAGCTCATCAGAGGGCTTGTAAACACACATGGCTACATGGATAAAAGGAATTCTCATTTTATTTTTCATGTTAGAAACGGGAATGCTAGATAACATGAAGTATTGGGATCAGCTCAAACCAAACCAAATAGTAGATAAAATTTCGTTTTGCCCCACATACCTCATCTCTTTTGAAAGCTTTAGCACTAGGACAACAGGAATGATTGAAGCAGCTTTGCAAAGGAAAAAATGCACTTCCTAAAATAAAATTCAACAACTAAAAAGATTTGTCACTCAACATTGAAAAATAATGATAATAATATATTCTATGGTATCATATAAATGAAATTTGGCATTCCTATAGTCAGTAAGGTAATAAATACTATTATGTTTTCCTTTGGAGAGTCAAATGGATAATGATATAGTCACAAATAAAACGTCATCAAGGAACATAACATCTGCAAATAAAAATAAATTCTAATAACAAATGCATAATTTCTTGTTCATTCAACTTCTGTTTTAGGAGGGTTTGGGAAGGAGAAAATTTCTCTGTTAAAAGTAGAAAAGATGATAATTATCTCATCCAAAACCAAATGATACAATTACTTAATCAGTCCATAAAAGGGCTATTAAAGAGACAACTTTAACTTGAAGATGGCCTTGCATTAAGATAACAAAGACATAGTATGAACTTCAGCAATTATAAGATAATATTAAGAAAGGAAAGATGAAAGAGAGAAGCCAAAGTTGAAGTATAAATTTTACATGAAAAGAAGATAAGGACTTGTCTGCAGATACCACCATACAAACTGCAGTAGAATGATAGATACTGGACCACAGCAATAGAAGGAAAATGACAGAACAGAAGCAAAATTGCACTAAATTATTCAATTGAATAAAAGGAAAATGATACATACTGATACAAATACAATGGGTACCTTCTTGGTATTTGAAAGACCCTGATCTCTCCCAACAACCAAATTCCTATTCCCAAAGTATAAGCTACCCTCCTATTCTGCTTTCCTTCCATATTTATAACATCCTCCCCTTTGGTTAGTTACCAAACTAACTGTAGTTAGTATTCAGTCACACTCACATTGAACCATGCCCATTGATTTCTTCCAACTTATTTCTCTGCTTATAGATCTTATTTATTGGAGACACTTTCATACAATCAGTACCTTGGCAACAAATAGAATAGTCTTCACCAAGAGCACCCAGAATTGGTTGTGTAACCTTCTCAGCTTCTTCCTGCCATTAATATCAGAAAAAATAGAAAAAGTAAAATAACTCATTCTTTAAGACAATGTAGTAAAGTAAGGTGAACCAAATTCTAACCTTGTTAGGATATGTCAGATCATCAATGTATAAAAAGTAATCCTCCACAGGAGAAGCTACAACCAAATCACTGGCAATATAGACTCATGATTAATATGAATATTGGTATAATATAAAATTTATTTAAATTATGAATCTAAAGTTCAGTTGACTTCAATGGCTATAGCTATACCATAATATTCATGCATTATGTTAATGGAAACAAACAAGACATAACATATGGCTAGGCAGAATAGAAGAAACAAAGCCCCATACGGTGAGCCCTTACAGATTATTCAGCTCAAACATGCCAATGATATGTCCATAGATATCAAGGGAAAATACTTGGAAGCGTCAAGGATTTAGAGGTAAAATTTCAAGAAAATGACCACACAATTTCACTGGGCATCGACATAATGAATGCATCACAAAATCAGTATCTGTAAGGATACATGGCTCACATTCCTTGTCAAATATAGCTGACTTAAGAAGTTGGAGAGACTGAAACATCAAATCAATAAGCAGAAAATTAGATATACTAAATCATTAAATATAAACATTTCCTACTATGTGGTAAACCTTTGAAGAATCTAACCTCATATGCCAACTCTTTTATTTGCATCCTGAATGAATCTTCATCAGAAGAATCAACATCATCTGGCAAGGCAATACAGTCCCACCACCTACAAATATACTTTGAAGTGATGTCTCTTGCACAATTCAAATAAAATCATACTAGAATTTTCAACATCAAAAGGAACAAGAAGATCATGGTATTCTCTTTCCCAAGTAGCATAATTGATGATAGTAAAACTAGATTAAATTATTTTTTCATACAATGAATTTGATATATATTAAATCAGTTTGATGAAATGAGCCATACTTGCATGAAACAATGACTTAAAGAAAAGTTTAATACAACAACAATCAAACTTTATCTCACTAAGTGAGGTCGGTTATATAGATCATATGATGTCATTAAATTTGGTCAGAAATTAAATTTTCATAAATCTGGCTAATTAAAAAGTCTTTTTTAATAATTTCATCTAAAATTCTTCAAGGTCTCTCAGCCCCTTATTTTTTTATTGAAGGTCATACAATCCATTCTCTTTACCAGTGACTCTATAGATCTTCTTGGCATATGACTAAACCACCTTAAACAATTTTTAGTCATTTTTTTTACTATAAGTACTGCTCTAATATTCTCTTGTATATTATCATTTATTATCCCGTGCGATCATTCATCTATCTTAACATTCTCATTTTTGTCATTCTCACTTTCTTCTCATATTATTTCTTTAAGGCCCAACATTCATAAACGATAGTTGTCATTATTATCGTACGATGAAACTTTCCTTTCAGCTTGATAGGTACTTTACGGTCACATATAACTCTTAATGTTTTTCTCTATTTTAACCACCTGACTTGTATATTATGAATAACATCTTTATTAATTTCCTCATCATTCTGTATAATCAATCATAAGTACTTAAAATTAAAAACTTGTAGTATAATATCATCTCCAATTTTAACTTTTAATACATAATGTTTATTTTGTTTTTTTTGCTAAACTTATGGTGTGTATACTCTGTCTTACTTATACTCAAGCGAAAATCCTTAAATTCAAAAATTTTCCTCCATAACTCAAGTTTAATTCTAACCTCTTCTTTTAAATTCTACTTAAAAAAAAGTTCAATATTCTAATAAAAAAGGAAATAAATTTTGCTTCTGTTAGTCAGAAGTCTTAAAAGTTCTATCTTTGGTAAAATGTGTAATTTAACGAAAACAGGAAAAAATTGATATAGACTTCCTCAAGCCCAATGACAAGTATACAGTTTCAACAGCCCTGCAATATAAGAATAAGTAATGCAACACATACCACACATTTTAAAAACCTTAATTACTAATCCTGGCTGGAACCATGCATGTTTATCAAATACCTCTCCGCAAATAAATTCCATCACGCGTAAGGAAAGATTTAGCAGTCTGTATTAAGGCTTCGTGTAGACAGGTAATGTTAGTAACTACCTTCTCTTGTGTCCCATTGATATAGGTCTCCAAGCTTCCAAAAGAAGAGATAAATTGCAGTGGCTTGAAACACAGGGTGTATCATAGTTTGCTGGCTCTTCAAGACTAACTGCTTTTAACTTGCGGTACTTTAATATGGTAAAAGCAATAGCCTAGTCACAAAATCCAGCCAGGCTTCCAGTCAGACAAGACTAACGAGAAAAGGTTATTGAATAAGCTGAGCATCTATAAATACAAATGTGTATGTCTAACGTCAAATTAAAGGCTAGCTCCGATAGAACAAAAGAGACATGTAAAATAATTTTTTTGAATCCCATAATGAATTTATTAAGAAAAATCTGCTGCAAGGGCTAAAATCACCCTTGGAGGAAAGTCTCCCCACCAGCTACAGTTTGCATACTCAAAAGCTAAAGAAACAATTACAAGAGCAATAGATAGGCAATCAGAAACAACTTTTTAGGAAAAGGACCCTATGATTTTGCAGAAGGAGCAATGTCTTATGAAAGTAAAATTTTCACCAAAAAGTTTTCCTATTTGATTTGACTGATGTGCCAGCATTTACTACACAGTAATCCTCATTGAACTCTAATGACAATAATACCAGGTTTTGTTATCAGATATACGTGCATAAAAAGTATATATGTGCAAATGGGCTTTTCAGGCAGCAATCAATAGACAAGAAATCCAGAGAAAAATTTAGGCCTTACCTTTGCAGTAAGGAGGAATATGTCATTTGTTTCTGGGAGAAAAGTGAAAGAGAATTAGATAAATTCAAATGAAACAAAAAAGTTCAGAACAAATTTAGATTGTTAACAATCATTCATGCCCAAAAGGAAGGAGTCTTACCATTAGCATGTTTGATGAATTTAAGGAGTGCTTCCCTATGTTCTGGATCACAACTATCACCAGTACAGAGTAAAGAATGGGAGGATTCCCAATCAGCCTCTGCACAGGAGGTGCTACAGGTATAGACATCTTCATCAGAATTCAGAAGAGATTACATTACATCCTACTTCAAACGCAAAAGAGTGATGTAAAACAGGGCAAGAACAAATATCACAGTAATCGCAGGAAGCTGCAGCTATTAATGGATTTGATCTGGCAATTCTTTTAAAAAATAGCCTAACTACAGGAATAGAATTATTTTGGGCTGTCTATCAAATTGGTTCCATAAAACATTGCACAAATCTTTCAGGAGTCTAGTTTTTTTCTTCTCAACATCAAGCATGCAATAGATGTACCAATATCAATGTTCTAAATAATTTTCTTCTTATATTCTTGCTTTATAATATTAGACGGGGTTTACTGGTTAGTGGTCACTGTAAAGTAGCAAAGTGTCAAACTACCAATCTATGATCAGTTCTACTCTTCCAAATAATTAAATGAGGAGCAGAGCAATCAGTAATGGAGTTTGGATCCCCATGTAGTGTTCATTTCTAATCAAAGTTTCACACTTTTGACAGCAAAAATTTATTCCTGCTCCTTGGCACTGAACATAAGCTAAATAAAAGCACCATATGCTCTACATTTTCCCTTCAAGCATCCATAGCCTTACCTACAATAATAAGCTTCTCCACATCCACCAGGGCATGGGACAGCTGGCGGCAAGGAGAACTTCTCAGAGCAAGGCAACCTTAATTTGCCATTCATTAATGATTCCACAACACCTTCAGGGAGAGGAACTTTAGTTTTGGAACTACCAGAAGTACATTGCTGAGTGCTCTCCTCTTCATCAGAGGAATCCACTTCGTGCCAGTGTTTTGAAGAGCCAGAGTTTCCCACATCAGAGCCATGACTCTCATTGGCACTTAACTGTTGCAAGTAAAGCCTTCTTCCAATTTGATGTTCTATGGAACCAATAAAACGAAAGCAGAAGCTACAGACCAAACAATCAATCTGCAAAGCAAAGTAGAAAATAAGAGAAAAGAGCGAAAGGTTTTAATATGGCCACACAGAACAAAAATTGTGAAACATTACGAAAATAAAACCTTGTTGAGCGAGTGTTGAACCCCCACAAGCATTTGGTCCTTCAGAACCAGTTCCCCCTCTTTGAAGTCCGCGGCAGCATATAAACCTGTACTAAATATAATATTTACGAATACAAAAAACTGAAAGAACCCATTTGAAGAGCATATATAAATTTAACAGCGTTAATGCGGAAAAAAATATTTTGATCTTGGAATTATAATCTTACGGAACATGAACAATAATTTTTTTTTTCTTTTAGAAAAAAGTACCTTTTCCAACATTGTCATCCTGTTTGACTATGATACCACTGCACTGCCTTGCGGACAAAAGGTTGTGATAATATTCCTATAAAGGACAAGGAGGAAAATAAAGAGCAGAGAAAAATGAGAAAGGTCGAAAAATAGGGTATATGAATGAACGACTGAATAAAGAGATTGCCTGAAGTTGAAGAGGGGAAGGAGGGGCGAGAAGAGCAGAGATTTCAGTGGCACAGCGCGACCAAATAGGGCAACTGGGCTCCATTAAATGTTGGAAGAGCACCAGAGAGAGAGAGAGAGAGAGAGAGATCAGCAACACAACAGGGTCACAAACGTTTGTATAAACATCGCGGCGCTCATAGTACTAACATTAACATCTCAAAATCATAACACTTCCATCCCATGTAACTTTCTTTTTTGATAATAATAATAATAATAATAATAATAAATGACTTAAATAAAAAAAAAAGTTTGGTTAAAGTACTCAATTTCGTTATATAAAAAATTTTAATTTGATTCTTACGTGTATAATCGTTATTATATATTTTGAATTTTCAACTTGATAACAAATTTAACACAATAAATCAATGTGGTCGTGTTAGATTTTCAAGTTATTAATGTTCGCTGGCTGAAACAAACAAGCTACTTATGAGTAAAAAAAATCGAAGTCCCAATCCAGCTTGACAAACCATTATTAATGTTATATCCTTATAACAAATTATAAAACATTATTATGAAAACATAAAATCATTTGCACCTAAAAAATCTAAATAAATTTAAAGAAAAGGACATTTTCTTTCGGTAATTAAGAGAATGATTAAATTAATCAATTAAAGGATATAGTTTTTATTTAAAAAATTCCCCAAACTCTCCCATTCTTTTACACGAATACCCCACGTTGTGTGTACACATTTCATTCACGTTTTAGAGAAATTTAAGTCAAGCTATTAATTATTATTGTCTTCTATATAGATGTATTTCTGTTGATGGTTTGTCGCAAGGTGATGTAATGTTACTAAAGTTAACGTATAAAAAAATTTGCATTGATCATTCCAAACAATGAAAGTATAGAGATGCCACACCCAGACAGAACTGTGACAAGCGAATCGAATACACAAATATTTCGAAACTGTACAACCAAGAAACAATTTAAACTTGTTTCCATTGCCACGTGATGTTTGCAGCATGATCCTTAATATTATCCATGATAGCATAGCATGTAATGTAACATGATAAAATACAAACATATAATAAAAATTGCCACCTTGCCAGTTTAAAATGTCTGGATGGGACACAATGTAATGCACAAATTTCAAACCAAAGAAGTAAAAAGAAAATGATAAAACTTCTTCCTCAAAGCCATCATACACATACATATCAGGTCTTTCAGCCACCTAGAATGAGAACCCATTAAATCTTGAAGAAAATCTAACCTTGGTCTCATACATCTAGAAAAGCTGGAAAAAACTTATGGTTAATGTGGAAACCAAGATGCCAATAGAAACAAACTAGACATTTATGAATAACATCTGATCTGTAAAAGTTTTAGTTTCATATGGATCCAAAGAAATGTTCCAGAGATGGAGCACTGAACACATTTGCAGCAGTTCTTTCGGTTTTATAAGGAGATATGTGAAGCTGATACTTGATAAACCTCTGCAACATGATTTTTTGTTAATCATTAGAAGATAACATAAAGTATGGTGATATTGTAGCGTCAATAAATAAATAAATGACGATATGGTTATTGTATCAGAGCATGAAATTGAGATATATAGTAACATACAGCTAACTGAGAGACAATTTCTGGATTTGAATCAATATGCCAATCGGGTTCCAATTGCCGAACAAATGATGACCGTCCATTCTCTGTGCTGCAGAACAGAACCTTCATGTAGGCACCAGACATCAAAATAGAGAACAAAAAGGTTACTATGAAGCACAGGAGAAAAGTAGGCAGTGAGCAGTTTGTTGAACTTGGATATTTAAACAGCATTCGCAAGATACAGAGAAGACAGATACAAATCTAGATTTTGTCAAGTATACTTGTTGCTATTAATTTTGCAACATCTCTCTAATCCCTTTCTTGATTGTTGTACCAACTATAATGGTCAAGCAGATATAATTTTTGAAACAAGATTAGGAGCAGTCATGACTAATGGTTTCTGAATTTCAGGTTTTGAGGACCTATTAGAAGAACACCAAGAAACACGTTACAAATGATGCCAAACTTATTTTATTATTGTTATTGGATAAACTTATAAACTAAGATCACCTAGTCAATACTAATAGTTCTCACCCTTTGGATAAACTTTAAATTAGTATAGATGTACCTTGGAACATCTCTGATCAAGATGTTTGTCATTACAAATTTTAATTGGAGAAAAGTGTTCACTGTCAGAGATTATATTAAAACATTTTTTAATAAAAATGAAAAAGATATTCCCATGTCCATCAACATGTGCACTGCATACAAAAATTTGTTCTCTAAGTGGAAAATACCTGCTTATATTAAAGACTTGCTGAAAGAAAGCTAGCAATGCCACAGCAAGAAGGTAATTAAGTTCAACAAAGAAAAGTAGTGTAATGGTTTTATGCATGTTCACATACCTTGTCCTTGACCAAACCACCTGAAGTGAATACTCCTGCTTCTTCCAAAGCTACAAGAACTCTTTTCTGCAAAAATAGTCATGTATAAAGTATAAATATTTTAATAATTGGTATACTACAATAGGGTGGCAAAAGTATTTGACCTGAAAGAAATTTTATTTTGCACAAAAAACTAACAGCTGAAAGAAATATACAGTCTCAATAAGTTCAACCTAACATTTGCATGATAAAAATAACACTGAGGCCCCCCACTTTATTCCTGCTCTTGTAAGCATCAATCACTTCAATTTCTGACATTACAAAATTCTCACTTCAGCTTTTGACTTTGTAAACCTAATTCACTTTAGTACGTCTCCGCTACATTTTCTGGTGATATATAAGTTAAAGCAAATAACATATTGCTAGAAAAGAACTAAAGTGAATGACATTTCACAAAGTCAAGGACAACAGCGAGGGTTTATTTAGTCTATAAATAACTTTGGTAGTATGAGCTCTAAGATGGACGGATAAGTAGGACAGAGACTAAGAGAAGAGATAATTATAACAATATGTCACATATCTAATGTGTCAACAATGATGATAATTATAACAATATTTCATATATCTAATGTGTCAACAATGATGACCATTGAAGTTTCAAATGCCAAATCCTAGGTTACAAGCAACTATACAATCTCTATTCATTTTACAGAATCATTTGAATGTAAAGAACATTTTGAAAATATAGAAAGATTTTCAACTTATAACGTGACACAATGAGTGACGGGTAAAAACTGAAAAATGACACACCTCGCTTTCATCATCCAGAACCCGTTCCATGAAATATAAATCACAGAATTTTGTTATTTCCAACAATACTTCAATCACAGAGGACCTTACAGTAGCTTGTTTCTGCCAAGAACAGAATGAACCATATTGATATCTTTCTCTGCATTGATGTCGTAAAACAAAAGTATAAAAAAGGACAATTTCACCACCTGAAGCTCCTCCGGACTACTTTCCTCAAGGATCACTCCAAGAAGACGACAAGTTACCTACATAGTACACACACAAAATGGCCACAAAAGTCAAGAAAAACATTGGCCACATTCCAACGTGTATAACTAAGAACACAATCCTGTAACATAAATGTTCCTCATGCCATCAAGAGTCTCAATCCAGTCATAAGATTTATAAAGCGATTGCCCAATATGTGTAAATTTCATGCATATCTAACCTATATAGGTACTGGTAAGCAATCTGATATGGCACATTAATTTAGTTTCAATATCTTAAGATCTAAGGTAGGTAGATATTATGATCACAAGAGATTAATTTCTATAATACCATAACAGCAACAAACTGAGCATGGTACATGTACTAGAACATAAGAGTACCAGAGAGAATATGTGTAATTAATTACCTTTCTTCCTTCACTCAACTTCTGCCTAACTATCTGCCCCAAGGTTGGCTGAAAAAGTTGAGAAAAGCAAGCTTAGAATCGCCATCACGTGCAAAGTTATTAACTCATCCCAACTAGTCTTGCGTAATCCAAAAAGATCCATGCATTGTCGAAACTCTGAAGCATCAAGAAAAGGAAAATGACAAAAACATTTTACCTTGACTGGCTGAAAGAACTCATCTACAACATTTTGTGCCCTTGAATCATCTGAGGGTGAAGAAACATCAGAAGTAACTACCGAGGCATTTGACTGTGTAGTGACTCCAGGATTGCTAGATGAAGCACCTTGCCGCTTTTGCTGCCTCCTTTGAGACCCAGAAGGAGATCTCAACAGCCTCCAAGTGAAAACAATTGCAACAGCAAGACCAGCAACCGCCCCAATAGAGCGATAATCCTAGTACCAAATATAGTCGTACAAGGATTATTCAAAGAAACATGCTCAAAACTCAACCAAAAATAATACTTCGATCGTTATACCATGTAACTTCACTAAAAGAGACAACTAGCAGCATATACGACCCATTATTACCTTCCCAACAGTACTCTATTTTTATGCACCCAAACTAACAATGTTAATAAGACCTATTACGACATATACTATAACACTAGGCCACTATTTTCCATTTCAGCAATAAACATGAACATAAAAACTTATCCTTTCTACCCACACCAAATACAATATTAAGCTAGGTAAAAAAAATAACCCAGTTGAATTTTATCACCAAAAAATAAACTTTGAGTTGAGAATTACACAATCCCGGATCCCAATCATTCAATAAACAATAACGGGGGCACAAAACACACACACACACACGCAACTAGAACTTTCAAACGGATGAGGAACAGGAACAAATAATTACGAATTCGAAAAAGCGACAATCAAAAAAAGAAAATAATTTTATATCAAATCAGATCCAATCGAACAATGGGTCGATAAAAAAAAATTTAAAAGGAAAATTGAGGTTAAAGCAAGGAAGCGGGTAGAGAGAGAAAGAGAGAGAATAGGAATACGAGGTTGTGAATGGAGAGGGAGAGGATATTGGAGATCTTGAAAGTGACGTAAGCTCCGAAGCGTTTGATGAGATGGAAGAGCTCTTGTTTGGAGGAGTCACCGTCACCACTGGAAGCCATGGATTCCTCGAATGGAAGAAACTTCAAATGTTCATATTTCAGATGAAATGAATGAATGAATGTTCCAAATCCTTAAACACAAACAGATTCTCTTTCTTTCTAAGGTTTCTCTGTTTCTGTTTGCCGTCAACGACCGCTATAAGCTGCCGTCAGAGAGAGCTTCCACTTTTGTTCCTAAAATATGTAGCAATATCGATTAGCTGGAGTTTGATCTATCTTGTATTAAATGAGACATACATAAATCAATATTTAACTTAAATAAACAAGTAGTTTAAAACCACTGATTATTAAATAAAAATAATTAAAATTATGTTAAATGTGTATTGAGATTATAATGAAAATATATGGGTAATTTTTAAATAAAAAATTACTTTTAATTTCTTAATTTGTGTTTTTAGAATATTGATTAGTATTTAATTTATTATTATGGTGGCATTTTTTTATTACTTTTAATAACATGATTTTTTTTTTGTTATCATCTTCTGAAATTTGATTTTAGCAATTAAAAATTATTTTTTATTATAATTAAATTAATGTCAACAAACACTTTAACCTGAGTATGACTTGCTTTAAATTTGTGTCATTTTTACCATTTAATTACACTTACTCTTATATTATTTTAGCACATTTGTTTTTTATTTTTATTTTATTATTTGAAAAATATCAAATATAGGTGATGCACAATAAGTACTTTTTTTTTCTTACTTTTATCATTTCTAATTATTTCTTTAAAAAAAGGATTATTCCGCCTATAAATTGAAACTAATAATTTTTAACATTGTTCATGTTTTAAAATTTGTAAAAATTAAATTTTATATATATATATATATATATATATATATATATATATACACACACATTCATAAATAACAATGTATAACAAATATCATCATTGTTTAACAATGATAAAAACATGTATCTTAAAAAGAATAAAAAAAAATAGTTGAATCTTTTCATTATTAAATAATGAATTTTATTTTATCAAATAGGATTACATTGAAGAGATAATACCTTTAAAACTAAGGAGAAATTGTAGCATTAAATTTTTAAATCAAGTCACATAATCTCTATACAACCACATCTAGTAATTTGATATGAAGTGTTAAAATATAAATTGTAAATAAAAATCTCTAGTTTAATATGGAACAAAATTTAAAATTCAATTTAAATTAAATAAAAAAACCAAGTATTTAATGTAAGGGAATTATCATGACTTAATAAGATAAAGATTAACTTCTAAAACACACGCACGTGAGGGGAGAAACATAAATATAACTGTTGTAGCAATTAAAGCCAAATTGATGTACTTCTTATGAATCATACATATCAGTCTCGTACTTTTTCTGCAGGAAGGAAAAAGGTGTCACAAGCTTTGACATGGACATGAAATACAAGAAACGAAATTGGGCCATGAATAATGCAATAATTGCCCAATCATGAAGGGGAAGGGAAGGACTAAGGAGGGCATGGGGCCTAAAATTGACAAACAACCAAAGACTCAGGTTAGTCCACAATCCACAATTTGAGGTGGGGAAGAGCTTCGTTTATCTTCAACTGATATTTCAGCTTCATGGTAATCTATAGCCTTTGGTGACAATTCCCTTTCAATTTTCAGGCCCGTGCCATTGACAATCATCTCTTTTTCTAAGTGAAAACAGTAGCTCTCAAAAACCCGAGAGCTTACCATAACTCTATAATCCAACAGAAAGAGTAATTCCAATTCAAGCTTGTTCAATTCAGCATTGCTCACTCCTCCTATTCTAGCATATACCGCGTTGTTATAATGTCTACAACTCACAAAAGCAAAGAATAAAGCACAATATTAGACAACCTTAAATAAAGGCAACAAAGCTATAGTTTAATTTAAGGATTCATAAAAGTGGAAGTTATAAGAGCCATATTAAGAGAAAACTAACTAAATTAAAAACCGTCATCACTTCATTCAGCTGTGTTGCACAACACCACAACATAAGCAGCATGCATAACATAAATGGTATTGTGATACACTAGCCCTCTTCAAGAAAATTAGTCAATGGAATTTGAAACCATGACCATAACCATAACCAAATTTGGCACGAGAGAAAAATGGGGTAGGGACTCACTCATCATCCAGCATCTTGGAAGCGACCATGACACTGGTAACTAACAATCTGTGCACATTCAAGGATGTGACAAGAGAATCAGGGTGCCGATGTGCCAACCTGTCTATATAAACATAGCCAACCACGAAACATGAAGGGCTACAATTAGTGTATTTGTATATCCTCTCCAGGTACTTAGGTATGCTTATGCTTGGTGCTCTTACGCCATGAAATGCATTCAAGCTCTTCCCGACTCTTACTGAGCCAATGCTCAGACCATCTAGCTGCTGGTTTAGGACATCCACGAGCTTTTCATTACGAGCAACCAACTTTTCTAACGTGGAAGACAGCACAGAAAGCACTCTCGGCAAGTTCAGCTCGGCCGGGCTTGTTTCCGGCTGCAGCTGCCGGCTATGGTTGCTGTATTCACCTGTTGTTAACATTTAGGCCATCGCGGGGGTTTCACCAGAGGAAGATACATCTATTAATGCTCATGGTTGCAATTTGAGTGGTTAAAGGCTAAGAGGGCGTTAACTAGAACCCTGCTTGTTATCTAGTTTGGAGGAACCACTCACTATATGGCTGAGGTGTGTGGCTCTATCACTAACGATGTTTAAAGATTGCGATTGAAAGTTTAGCATCCTTTTCTTTGGAAATCTCGAGCCACTAATATTCTTTAACATGGGTCCCCACCTATAATATGTGGCTTGTCTTAGGAAAAAAACAAGCGATGCCTAAGAATATACAGTCTGGCAACGTGAACGTGGCATGGCTGGTTCGTGTGTAAACAAAACTGGAGGTCCGTCTTCGTACCCTGCAAATTCTAGGCCCCCACGAAGGACATTTTAGAGGCATAAATGTCGAAACAGTGATTAAGTCATTACATAATAGCGTTACTTCAGCTGGTTTATAATGGTATAAAATGATGGCTACTGGCCAAAAAGCAAGGGGAAAGTCCAATTTTGCTGGTGTTGGCTTGTAGAATTGGTAAAGGATGTGCCATGCAGCCAACTTTCAACCCAGATAGACTATCAATACTACTATATTTAAGGCTTGTTCCGTTATACGATATCAGATTTTTCAGAACGTAATGAACACCTGAGAGATACTGTGGATACAACTGGTCTCCATATATAAACGATGCTATTAACCAGAAGGCTTGATATACATGATATAATTGTTACCGTGTAGGACAAGATATTACTTAAGAGCACAGGAAGAATAGACTGTTCTTTTTGTGAATAAAGAATGACATTTATAACCGAAGGGAAACCAATGGAATGAACAAAAGGAATGGAGACCCCCTATCATCAAAACATTTGAAATATACCTTGTATGACAATGGCAAAGCATCATACTGTTCTCTAGCCTATACACTGTGGTTAATGGAATGAAGTAATTTCTCTTCATCATTTGAGATTTCACCCATTGCGAGCTGTGGGTATGATTTGGAATTCATCTTGTTCCACTCATTTTCAACCCGGAAAAAGATCCACTGGAAGCGGCGGAAAATCTCCAAAGCAGCAATTATGAACACTGTGAAGTAATTATGACGAAGATGGGCAGACAGCTTATATGTCCATGTGCAACGCAAAATCAGATTGCTTCCAATCACCCAAAAGTAAACCTGTATGCACATATAAAATACTTCAGCACACCGAGGAAACAATCTATTCTTTCATTTCAGTTCTCCACTGTACTTTTCTTTCTTCTTTTACCATGCGGGTTTTCACAAATTCAGAAAACCAGTCAGAATCACACATTATAAGATTATACGCATAAGAATTAAAAGTTGTTGATTAAACCACTGATTGATTAATCAACAATCAATGGTTGATTTAACCATTGATTAATCCATTACACATGAAATTGGCCAACCTTTATCCAATTTTAAAGGCAATGAATAGATTGAATAGATTTTGCCTGCATCACGAAGGCTCATCGACTTCTTATTGTGGAATGAGGAATCCGTGGCCTAGTTAAAAACTTCAAAATTGCAAATTTTTTCCTTTAAAATTGTAAAATATACCTGGCCTTCACACACACAAAAACTTCTCTCAAAAACCCCCGAGTCTGTAAACTTTTATAATTTGGTCTCTTTAATACCATTTTTCTAACTCCATTTCCATCTATGTGGCCAAGAACTGTTCAAGGCACAGTCACCAAGTCTTGTGAATTTTTTACCTTGACAAATCAATATAAATGATAAATTCAAGAGAAGAAAACTACTGAACTCAAACTATTTTCATTGACAATCCTTACCCATCTCCTTCCATGTAACATATGTGAGAACAGATGTGGCTTGCTGAACTTGAATATTCGAGTGAATCCACTGCCAAAAGAGAAAGCAATATTTGTATGAAAGCATGTCACAGGACACTCATCAGATCAAAATAAACACTAGCCTCACTTCTGGGAATAAAAGCAACTTCTTCCATTTTTAAAGGTGATTGGCTAAGATATAACAATCGACAGTAGAATCTACATCTCTACAGATAGGAAGAAGCTTAGTTCAGAAGATACAAAAGTGCTTGTAGGACAAACATTTGGCATACCTTAGGTCCCAATCTCGAGTCACATCCCAGTAGAAAGAGTATGATGAGTTCACAACACTTGACAGAAGCCAGAGAGGCCTATAAAAGTTTGTCCACCTATCAGGGAAGACGTGATATTTAAGGGCAGAAAGAAAAATCACAGGCACTGCTGTTGAATATTTTAAAGCTGAAACCATAACGAAAAGAAATGAACATCAGTGCAAAGCAGTAAACCATCTGTTTGAAAAATATGATAAGTTGTTCATTAATAATTAAATAATTTAATCTTCAATGAAAACAAAATATAAAGAATGGCAGCTAAAATGCAAACAGAAAAGTATAATTTTATGCACAATTGGTCTAAAAAACTTGAATACGACAACTTAAATTTTTGACAAAATCTCAATCCCAATATCATATGAAATCTGAATTAGAAAATTAATGAGAAGTCTTAAAATGTTCCTCTTACAAACAACAAAAGAAAGAAGCAACATACAGAGGGTAGTTAGTCCTTAACACAAATTTGTATGTTTCTTTCTTATTTCATTTGTTTTATCTTTATAAGAATAGTACAGCTTTTTTTTTATTATCTTTACAATTTGGATATACCGCCACATATTATGAAAATTCAGCAAAAATGTCTTGTTTTATATTACAAGTCACAAACAACGACCAATGATCAATAACAAAAATCCATACATCATATTTGGTTCAAAACAAGCAAGCATAAAGACCTTTTGAAGGACAGCAGAAAAACTATATCATGCACGAAAGATCAAATCCAATCTAGGTAAAAATGTCCAAAGTTCACCAGATTAATTTTTATTAGCTTAAAACATATGCACATCCCAATGATTACACAACAAGGAGAATATAAAATATTATTAACACAATATATTAAGAGAATTTCAAACAACAGAATATGCTCAGAAAATCTGACATAGTGACATTGCATTTAAGCTGAATAATAGAGGTAATAACAAATGAAGTCCTAAACAGTTGGAAGCAAAACATGCAAAATAGACAGGAATAAGCACTAGATCTTAAATTGTGAATGATACTAATTTGGCAATCAACGCAAACACCATTTTGTGATAAATACCAAATATACCCAAAAAACTCAATTTCTACATTAATATAAAATCAATTCATAAACTTGCAAAAATTTCGATGACAAGTCATACAATACAAGTTATAAAAAGGAAACAAAAAAGGGTTCTTACCATTCAGAAGAGTAGTTTTCTCTCCAGTATCTTTGTACTGCCGGAGACACTGGTTTAAGCGGAAAAGATAAGGCAAAACAAGAACTAAAGGGATTGCAACAGAGTGACTGCCACAAACAGAATCAGCTTCTAACCAAGCAATTGTGGCAACCTACAAAAATTTAAAAAGTACATTCCCTACTTAGTGAAATGAACCATCCGCAGTAAGGAAAAAACTAAATATACAAATCCAAAAGTCTATATGTTAATCGATAAGTTCTATGGGAACAGAGAACTGTAAGCAGGATCAAAATTGTAATTGTAATCAAGTTACAAATCTCAATATTACAGAATCAAATGAACTGATTTAGCTTTAGAATTTTTTTTAATGAGATCAAGGAGACTTGTTCCATCATCCCAATGCTAAACAAAATGAATTCATCATACACTAGAAGTTGATCAAATTCTACCATAATCAGAATAGGGAACTCAAATTACTCAAAAATTTGTAAACTATATACTTCAAACTGACAATAGAAGGCATCAACCTCAATCTATAGGAACCAACCTGTCGATGGACCATTCTACATACTGAACGCTCCAAATCAGAAAAGACCTGCATAAAATTGCAATCATAATCAAATTAAAATAGTAGTGCATTGATAGAAAATAAGAAGTTAAAATTTATATCAACAAATAATGTCAATTTTAAATTCTCAGGTCATGTCATTTGTGTGTCAGTGTTGGACCTCAATTTGTAATAATAAATGAAAGTAAATGCAGACAAAAGTATACATATTTAGATCCACAAATAAACATAAACCTAGGCTAAAAATCATTGTTAACAGAAATCAATAATAAAGATTAACATGGGATAGGAGGACAAAGATATATCTACAGAAATATAATATTGGAAAGGAAGCAGACCTTTGCCATGGAAGTTAAAATATCAGCCAAGAAAAAATCGGAGAATGATATCACCTGTTTTCATGCAAATAAAAAATGTTAAATCATATTCAAGCCTAGGTCCAACAAGATACTAAACGCATCAACTGATAAGGTTTAAAGTAAAGCAAGGGAAAGGTTTAGGCTAAAATATCAAGTCTTAAGGATCTGAAAAAAATATAGAACAAGAATAAATCTCTTATAATTTTAAAACAGCAATGGCAAGGAAATATCATAGAAAGGTTCAACAGGGTGCCTCTTCAAGGGTTTCTTTGTGCATGTGAAATTATATGTTGTGTACAGTGTACACTAACTATGTCATTGATTGATGACACCTATCAAGAAAAAAAACTGTGAGAAGGTCATTAATTGTTATGAATAACTTATTATTTATGATACAGAGTCTTGCCAGCATTTCTCCCCACTTGATTACACCTATAACAGCATGTATGTGAGCATCTGCATTGCAATCATCTCATCTAATCCACTAACACTGGTGGCATGCTTTTTTAATGGCTGCCAAGTGGGGGAGAGGGAGTTGCATGGATACTTCTGTTATTTTATGAAAACTGAATGAATAGAAGAAGCAAGGGAATAAGTTCAATATGACTGTAGAATTCTATGTTCATGCTTATATATCTTCCTGGTTATGCATGGCATATATATAAGTCAGACGCTAAAAAAGTGTCAACTATTTTAAGTGTAGCACCGCGAGACCTAACACAATACTTCCAAATAAGAGTAAACTTGCCTGTACCGGGAGAACTATTCGCCAGAGTGTCCTTAAGAAGTAATATCTAGGTGAAAAATAAAAGATATCATAGGGGAATATCAAAACCATTACAACAGCAGCATATAAGAGCACCTGCAGAAGAGTACAAGGAAAACTTAAAACACTTCCAACAAGACAAAAAAGGAAGCACAGAAATGGAATTAAATGTTCATCAATCATATCCAAAGCAATGAACAAAAATTAATATGTATTTACAAGTTATTTTTCAGGTATGAGGATTAACCTGAAAGTTATACTGACTATATTTTTCATTGCTGTAAGGTAAATGTCTTATTTACACCTTGGGTGGTTCAAATAAGCAGAAACTGCCATCTAACAATAAAGAATTCAACTTAAGAAATCCATTAAGTAACCATTAGGAAGATTTTTAAATCAAAATATCTAATGTGATGCTCAGGAAGTAAAAATAATTACAATAAAGGTCCTCCCTTCTAGTCCCCACACCAGTAAACAAATGAGATGTGATGGAGCTATTAATACCATGATCAGCAATAAACCCTATCCCAGTTGAAGTACATCTTTTTGTATGCAACATAATCTTGGCCATACATTATTTTCTTTGGTGTTTTTTCTCTTCACTGAACTATGGTCCCCATCCCAGTCTAACGACATGAGCTTCTTAATAAATGATTAAACTAATATGCAGAGCACTTTGCAGATGCATCCCAGTAACAAGAGCAGTAGTCATTGCTAAAGATGTTTTGCAGTGCACGGGTCCTTTAGATGGGTTAATCATAAACTTATTGTTATTGTTGAATCAAAAGCATGAAAAAAAATACAGTGAAATAAAATACTTTTGTAAAAAGGAAAATACTACAATACTGAATTGAAAAAAGTGATAACCAAGCAAACAAAATTTAAAGAATAACTAGTGCAAGTGGATGCATCTATTACACTGGTTGCGATGCAGCATATGAGACCTCTCCATGAGAATAAAGATAAATATATGCTGTCATACTGGTTGGAACAATAATTGTCATCCATGTGGCACACTGCAACAACCAACAGAAAAATTTTAAAATCCTAGTCAATCATTTGAGACTAATTATTAGAAAATGGGAACAAAGAAATTATGTAAAAAAGAGAAAAATAAAGTATTAGAATAATGGGTGAGAACAAAAGACATAAGATTTCCCAGTTTAGTAATACACTAACAGTAATTGAAGGCAAAAGAAATTCCAAAACTAAAATAAAGATTATAGGGTGATAAAAACAAAATTACTTACAGCAAAATTAGTACACAGATTGATCATTGCATTCCTACATCTATTCCAGAAAAATGAGGGTTCTTTAGTTTGGCAGAAAAAAGGAATAATGATTGCATTCTAAACTATCATCCCATAAGGAATCCCTATGCCCTCCTAGAGATGTGGGCATGGTCATTCTTTGCAAGCTGAATGAACTCATGTTGTTTTGTTTCCATATTTATCTTTGATGGTTACAATTATACACAAGATTCCATTCAATGCTTATTTCATGTCCTAAGCATGAAAACAAAATGGACAAGTATAAAAGTACCATTGTGCAAGTCCAAGCAAACCAAATATCAAAACAAATATGGTTTCTCTATTCTAATTCCCAAGTCATGTCACTACCATTTTTATTCCCCTTATGATCCTGAAAAAGCTAATTTGCATGTACCAAACAAGGCATAAGTCAGAGTGATGAGTTGATACCTTCCATATTTCTCGGTGAGTCAGATGATTTTGATCAAGATCAAATATTTTTGCATAATTGACTCCACCCTGAGCAAAAAACCATAAATTGATTCCCCACAGCCACACCATCAAAGCCTGAATACAAAAATGAGATGAGAGACAATGATAAAACAAATAAGGTGAGTAAAATTTTAAAAAATAGTATTTTAACCTCCTTGATTCCTGATGCAAACAGATATATCCATGCATGCACAGAGTGACATGCAGATGTTGCAGATTGACATAGTCATGGGGGCAGGGTGTGACTCACCGTAAGAAGAAGAGGGTTAAAATACAAAAATGCTTCATATAGAAATAAATCCCGCTTGTCTGCACTCATTCTCATGACAGAATCCCATCCAATCTGCAATTTTTGAACACAGCAAATAAGATTGTGGCAATATGATGAAATCCTTAAGGTAAGGGCATACTACCTCAATCTCACACCCCACGGAGGAGTTGAGGAGAAATGTTGCAGGGAGAAAATATTACTGACCTTGCAACAGATGAAGCCCCACATAAGGAACAAGAGTACCTGGACATCCTTCTCAATAAGATTGTAGAAAAATAAAAAATAGAAGGAAGCAAACAGCAGCAAGTGCACATTTGGGACTATACTCATAAATTATGTCAATCAACCCCAAAATTTTCTCCCAAAATAATCAAATACAAAACAGCTCGACAAGAATGAAAGGAACATTCCACTCCATCATTAAGTTCATCCTACAACTTTTGAATTCATTCAAATGACAACTCCAAATACATTATGGGAAAAAACAAAACAAAAAAGAAGTTTCAAAGCTATAAGCTAAAGCAATGTAAAAACCTTGAATCTCAGCAACAAAATGGGCGAGGGCATTATTGCAGCTGCACTCACTGGTATTGTACCACTCTTTGAATCAGCTGCCTCCACGGGATGCAATAAACCTTCCTCAACACCATTTTCCACCTCATTGTCATCTGGAAATAGCAAAAACTAAAAGTTGTATTATATTGCTAGAACCTCAAAAGCAGCATATGAAAAAGTTAAAATAGCAACAGATGCAGCCAAGGGACATATAAATGAAGTTACCAAGATCATAAACAACAGGTCTGCTCCCAGATTTGCGTAAGTGTGGACTATGAGCGGGAATGGCAGCGCCTCCAAACATAGATGAAAACACAAACAGCAATTCTCTTGTACTAATACCCTTATTCCAAATCTTCTAACAACCTATCAATACGCAAAATTTAAAAATCAATTAACTAATTCATCTATACTTTACCAAATTCAAACTGAGTAGATCAAAGAAACGACTCTTACTAGCCACAATAAGCATTGCCTAACACATATTTATCTATCACGATTCATGCATGAGCGACATTGTAAAAAGCACAAAATGAAATTCGTGCATGAAAATGTTGATCCAAAAAAGGAGGGAGATAATATAGATATAAAGCCAAATCGAACCGAACAGAAAGAAATCGAAAGGAATGGAGCGTCAATTAACGGATGAATTGATTTGTTTGCGCGAATTGGCGTGGTGGTGTGGCTGGGTATCTGACATGGTGGAAAAGGGTTAAGATTGCGAGAGACCAACCAATAACCATTACCAAGCACATCAAACGCGTAATATTTGGATTGTCGCCAAAAAGGACCGATATTGCAAATTTTTAAAGTTTAGATTATGTCCATCCATAATTAATTGAAAAATTCCCATCATAAATTTTAGCATATAAAGATTCAATTCTCTCTTAATCGTTCTTTATGTAGATTGATTCATTTGTGAATTAACATTTATGTTATAAGTTTCAGTCTTGTTTTTTAAATAAGAATAGTTTTAAATTTTATGTTTTATTAAATCATGTAATTTTTAAAACTCAATATTAAATTTTATATTTATTTAATTTTTTAAATACTATTAATTAAATTAAATTTATACATTAACTTTTTTTGCTATTAATTTATACATTTCCTTTAAAATATTGGCATAGTTCAAGATAAATATATTTTGTAACACAAGTAATATAGATTTATGTATCACGTTTCAGTCTTTGTTCTTGATAATGAGATTACAGTGTGCTTGGACGATGCTCTTAAAAAAAACGGATGATTCAAACTATAAATTTTATGTTGTGTAAAATTAAGATTAGATGTATAAAAAAAAATTAAATTTGTTGTTTAGATACAAGCTATAAAATTTAAAATAAAGTTTATTATAAATCTATCACTGAAATATTATTTAATATAAATAATTAAACATTTTAAGTATAATAATATAATTATTATTTTAAACCACAATTCAATTTAGTTAGTCTGTTATGTTTTACTTTTTTCAGCCTATTTTGACACCTCAAGGGATTAAGATTGGGTTGGGTTGAGTTTGAGAAAACTTTAATAGAAACCAATTAGATAGATCATGTTGCATCTGGTTGATTTTTTATGATGCTTTGTGTATAACTAAAATCAAATTAATTCAAATTATTACGTCATTCAATAAGGTGGATGTTTAAGTTGGATCAAATTTGGTCTGTGTGAAATTAATTATCTCAATTTAACCAAGCTTTTATTATTTTTACTTGACCTAACCTATTTTTTAAGCTTTAAATTAAGTAGGTTAGTCGATTCATGCGCCGATTTACTCAATCCATTAATCCAATGCCTAACTTCACCTCCAATTTTCAATGTAGAATACATAATTGTTGGAGTATTTATTAAAAATTTTGAAAATTGACTCAACTTAATTATTTTGTAATTTTATGAACCTATTAGATAATTAGCAATTTTTCTGTGCACTGCATATGTGTTATCAAATTAAATCATTTAAAAAATGAAAAATATATTATACTAATATTTATAAATTTTATAAATTTAAAAAATAAAAAATAATTTTATTATTAATAATAAATATTATATTATATTAAATAAAAATAAATTGTAAATATAAATTAATAATTAAAAAATAAATACATGATAAAGAAAAATTACTTGAGACAACGAAAAGAACCAATTTTTAAAATATTTTTGTTTAAAAATATTCTTAAAAATACTTCTATTTAAAAACACTCTTAAAAATATTCTAATTCAAATCAACACTCATAAATTATACATAGAAATTAATTATAATTTAAATTATTAAAAGGCCTTATAAGATTAAAAAAATGAACTAATACTTAATAGGGTCAGATCTGATTTCAAACTCCAATAATATGATCAATTCCTTTTATTTCACGTTGTTGTGGTAGCAAGGAAAGCTAAAACAAATAGACTAACTATTGTTAACTTGACCACTTCAAAATTGTAGTTTAAAAATGTAATATATAATTTTTTTATTACACATTATTGCGTAATTTTATAAATTTGGATAAATAAACAAAAAGATAGTCAAAATGAAAATTAATAAACCATTGATGGGAATGTAGCCTTCCATATGTATTGTGGAACTCACAAGTGACAACATGCGGAACCTTTGGACATGCCATGTTATTGTTCATCTTATCTTACCTCTTCAGCACTCCATTAAGACCTATGACACAATCTATAATGCTATTTAGCTTTAAGTTGAAGAATTGTCTTCATCACGTTGACAAGACTAATTAAGAACATTTCTTTCCCCCTTGTAAGATGGAGTCTCTACTATCCCTCACATGCACCACTTTTGAGGTATTTCCACTCGTTTGTGCTTGTAAAGAGAAAAATAAACAAGACCCCTAATATTTTTCTCTCTAAAGAGGAAAAATAATTAGCAAGAGAACAAAAATTTAAAAGCACATTTATCAAGACAATTAATTTGACTTTTTCACTCTTATCTTATAGGTAATAAAAATAAATTATCCATAATATCTTAGATATTTTATTTGCACATTTGTTTTCTATTATACTAAACAGAGAAGATAAAATATTAACTTCTTTTTCTCACTTTCTCTCCAATTAAACAAATATAAAATTATTTCACTCTTATCTCATTTTTCTCTCTTTGTTTTCTTTCACATCAATTTCCTTTTCTCTCATTTTATTTTACTACAACCCAAGGAACCATTCTTTGTTTTTCTTGTTAATAACTATCGGAGTAATAGTGTGACAAAGCAATGGTGATTATCAGCAATCCATTTTAGTGAGCCCAATTGTTCAAACGTCTCTATTCCTTGGATTTCGAAAGATCACAAAAAAATAAATAAACAGTAAAGACGATTATATTTTTATTTTTCATAAACTCTTCTGAAAATCAAGTCTATGCATGCATGACCCGAGTCCCAACTTAATGATCATGTCGAGTACGACGAGGATTACACTGTGCAGCTTTCTGGGCCAACGTATTCGTTTCCTGAGCAAGTTGGGCTTAGCCCAATTGTTTAAAGAAAATAAAAAATGTTCTCGATAACAACCAAAATTTCACAACAAAACTCAAAAATTATTAAATGACCATATCATATATTATCTTAAAAAAATAAAAATAGGTTTAATTGCACCTTTCATCTTTATACTTTAATGTAGGCATGATTTTAGTCTCTTTAATTTTAATTGTTCATGTTTAATTTTTAAAAAAATTTACTCTAAAATTGTGGACCTTTATTACATTTTTTTACAACCAACCAATTAATCGGTTTCAGGTTTGTGTTTTATTGGGCAATGACACTTGGTGAAAGTTAACCCACAAAATCAAAATTCTCTTACCTCAAAAATCCGAAGTCTATGTGGCTCCTCTTTCTGCCTCTACTACACACAAAATCAAAATCTGTTTCCTCGTTGTTTCCACATATCTCGCTATAACATTGTGACTCAATAATATTTTTAATTGCATTTATTCACACCAAAAGCAGTGTCCGAGTAAAACTGCTTAAATATTTATACCAAAAACAATGGCTGAAATTTTCCACCACAATCCTTTCCATATCAGCCAAACGAATCTATTTTGAGGCTTTCGATTTGCCATGTGACACAATACCCAACAAAGAAAACTTGAAAATAAATAACCATCGTTCATGTTACTATGTCAGCTCATGCTGTCTCTACCCTTAACCTTTATACCTTGCTAGTTCCTGCTATCTGAATACACGTACTTCCACTTCTGAATCTGCACTTCCCTTTCTTGTCTCATTCACGTTCATGGATAGAAACCCCGCATTGTTTTAATTGTGTTTGGTAAGGTTAAAGCTCACTCTTTTATTTCATGTCTGTTACATTCTCTACACATATCATTAATGGGTACGTTAGTGTGGGATGAAAAATGTTCACGTAAATTGTTTTGCATGTTTGGCTTTTCTTTGTTTGCATTAAATTTTGAAGGGAAAAAAGGGGTTTTCTTCTTCGAAAATGATTGAGGACAACTTCTAATCGAGTCCTTTACTTATATTTTTAATATTTTTATGATGCATGTGTATAAGAAAAGATAAAAAAGAAAAATAATTATACTAAGCGTTAAGTTTTAGATGTTTGAATAAAACCGTTTCCTATTTTGTCACTAAGATGGTTTTTTTTTTCTTTGGTTGGAAATGACAAGGGGGTAGGAGCAATGTGGTTCAAGTTGGAGGGTTAGAATGAACAAAACTGAATTCCCTCCATAAGCTATGTTAAGAGTTTAGTTTAGCTGTGATGGATAACTATTAACCAGTGACATTGCAGGAGCATGGAACCTCTATGTGAGTTTTGTGGGATTGTGAGAGCTGTGGTTTATTGCAAGTCAGATTCTGCTTGTCTTTGTTTGCAATGCGATGACTGTGTACACTCTGCCAATTCTTTGTCTCGAAGGCATTCGCGTTCTCTCCTCTGTGATAAGTGCAATTCTCAGCCAGCAATGTTTCGTTGTATGGATCATAAGTTGTCTTTGTGCCAAGGTTGTGACTTGAACCCAAATAATTGTGCTGTATTGGGACATAGGCGCCTTGCATTGAATTGTTAAACTGGTTGTCCTTCTTTGGCCGAGTTTTCTAGGATTTGGTCCTTTGCGTTTGATGTTAATGGGTCATTTGGTGGTTGGGAATCACATAGTACTTTGCCTAAAAGTGATAGCTGCACAAGCAAACGTTTGGAGCAACCTGATCATAATGGTGGTTCGTTTGGATCATTGGTGAGTGACAAATTGGATGAAATGGAACCTTGTGTCAGATATGAACCTTGGATGGAACAACCTTCCACCATTCCTTCGAATCCATGTTACACCCCGTATTGCAAAGACCAAACATTTTTCTTTCCTGAAGACTCAAACCAGCCAAAGGTATTGCCTTCTACTAGTTTCATTTTGGTTTGCAACATACATGCGCATTACTTATAAACTTTTGATAATGCATTATTGATTGGCATGTAATTAGTGTGTTTCATTACATCCTCCATTTAAAAACATCTGTTATTTAAGTAATTGCACCAGAATTAAGAAAGGTCGAATAAGTCCTCATGTATTAGTCTTCAGAAGTGACAAAAAGTGGTTAAAACGTGCACTATAAGTTGTGAGCTGTCTTCATATTTGATCAGTTTTATCACAACACTCTGTTGTCCTTAACCAAAGCTGATACAAGCTTTTTATTTTATTTTTTACCTCAAATTACTTGCAGGGATGTGCAAATTTCAATGATCTTGGAATTCATGATGGGAATGATCTCTGTGACGGTCTCAATGTGGACAATGTTCAACTAAATTTTGAAAGTGCTGATGACATATTTGGCAGCTCTCAAGTTGCCACAAGATTCAACCTTGAGGATGGAGGAATGGACTGTCTATTGATGGATAGAACCATATCAGTAACAGAATCTAATAGATTTATTGAGAGTGCCATGGAGGTTCTCCCTCGAGCTTATTTTTTTATTCTCCTCTATAAAATTCCTCATTGATATAAAGTTTATCAGTATTGTACAAAACTAATTGTCACCCGTGGGATTGTTTTTAGGCATCATCATCATCAGTCCAACAAGATTGTGTGACTTTTCAATCATCCACGGCTGGTGGTTCAGCTAGTGTGATGCAGACCATCAGCAGTAATGCAAATTGTGCACTTTTGAACCCTAGCAGCAATAGAAGCATCGATCTGGGATTTCCTCAGGGTCAAGTTCATTCAAACATACCACTTCAATTACCAAACATAACTGGTGAAAGTAGTGCTAATGAATATCAAGACTGTGGGTTATCGCCAGTGTTTCTTCCAGGCGAATCCCCCTGGGAATCAAATTTGGAGGGCACATGCCCACTAGCAAGGGATAAAGCTAAAATGAGATACAATGAGAAAAAGAAAACTCGAACGTATGTGCTTTTAATTCTAATTTGCGTAACTTTCATGACAAATATTATTCAAGTTGACATGCATCCACTAACATAGGTTTAAGTCTAGAAGTACCTGTAAGTCTAGAACTATTTTTATATTTTCTTTTTTCTGCTGCATTCATGACAACAGCATATTGAAGTTTATTGTGTTAATGCTAATAATACTGGTGGAAAACATAAATAATGGGAATTGTGTGCTAGCACATTTAGCATCTAAATCATGTTCAAGGATAAACAAATATTTATAACACATTATATGGAGGACGATGAACTTCTAAAATTTTTGGAGGATCAACCGGAAAAGATGCTTCAATTTTGAATCATTTTCTGAATTAGGTAGAGAGAACATATTCTACATTATGTAACTCTACCAGAATATGTTCTCCTGCTTCATTATGATCCAATATTTGAAAGGTTCTTATTAGTTGTTCAGATTTCATACATTTTACTTATTATAACAAATTTTGCTGATTTCTTACCTGCAGGTTTGGTAAGCAAATAAGATATGCTTCTCGCAAAGCAAGGGCTGATACAAGGAAACGTGTGAAAGGTAGATTTGTTAAAGCAGGTGAAGCATATGATTATGACCCTCTTGTGACAAGGGATGTCTAAGCATATCATCTGCAATCGCTGTCCTCTTCATGCAAGATATGGTTCTGACAGGTAAGGCGGTCCCTGGTCATTGTGAATACATTGTTTTATTGCCAATTCTTAATCAACATAAGTCTTGTTTATCTTATGATAGTGGATAAAATTTTAATGCAGCCAAATAATTATTCGAAACTTGACTACTTAGGTGATTGATACTGATCTATTAAAGCATCTAACTGGTTAGTATTAGAAGATAAGTAAGAAGGGCTTGCATGTATGCCTATATATTGCATTTAATTATATGTAGGAACTATAAGAGGTAACGGGCATGGCATGAGACATAGAGAAGCAGGAGGTGTATACAGATTTCAAATCGCATCACAGTTATTGTCAATTCAGACAAAAACAGAGGATTTGATAAATACCACTTTATATATCAAACAATATTTAAGTAAAAAATATTTATTTCAGATTAACATCCATGTGGTCCTGAAATATTCCTGTAGTTCCTAATTTGTTACCCTTTGCATCTCTGCTGTCTGACAAATAAGATTAGACTTTTTATTTCATAAAAGTTAGTTTTAAAGATAGCATATAGTTTCGCCTCTTCCATTCTTAATTTTAAGGTAGTTTTTTCATAAATAATCTTTTCTGTTTTTTGTTGACATTTGGATTTTATTATTCTATTATTTTCAGGCCTAGATTTTCCTCCTTGCTATAAGAGGAGATGTGCATGGTGATCCATCCTGAATTTCAACAGGTGATATATTGTGGGAGTCTCTGAGCCAAAATGTTTTATATATACACTATCTAGTAAAGAATGAAAGGGAAACTGGTGTTTGGCAAGCAACCATAGCCACCCTCTTGTTTTCTGCTTCCAATTTATTTGTTCCTCCCACCTTCACATGACCATACTCCATGGTGTCTCAAGTCATTGTCCAAGGACAGCAACACTGTGGAAACTCTCATTATTCCATGTTCATCAGAATAGTGAGCATGGTCAACTGTGGATTGAGATAATGTTTTTATTGACTTGATAGAAGAAACGTCACCTGCAGCAATCATATGCATCTTTGACAACCTTCCTACTGCCTCAATTATGTCAATTGTTACAGTGCTCGATATTCTCTTTATAATTGTACAAACTTGCCTTATTTCGAGGGATTTCTCCTATGAAACTAAAGATATTAATGACTACTTTCTTGTTTTTCCCAAATCCAAAGAATAACCATCAATGATAGTCCCTCTGTTACTGTTCATTAAATTTTGTAGAATGTATGCTATAAGAAAGAAAATGTTAGCTTACTGTTTTGAGTTGTTTAATATTAAAGTAAATAATTGTGTGAAACGATAGTCCGTATAATGTTTTTACAGTACCAATCCTGCTTGTTTACATGGACATCTGTGAGATGTGATTTTGATCTTCGAACATGGAAACATAGAAAATTATTGATTTAGGTTTATGGTTGAATTACTAAAAGCATTGTAAGCTGGAAGCTTCTTTTGACAAGGAATAATATAGTCTAATGGAATTGAGCTGAGAAATAGCTTTGTTATTTTAGTGACTGGCGGAGTGCCGGTAAATATAAATTATGCAACAATCACATTGAGTTGTCATACCATGCATGAGAATCTTGAATTTCTCCATATCTAAGATACTTAAATATTTTATATAACTTACGAGCAAGTATTTGTTCCTTCATAGTTTTTACTCTTACAAGGCGGAATCAATGCAAAAAACTGGTCAGTTGGACAAAAAAAGGAAAAGGCTAACAAAAAGAGAGAGAGAGAGAAAAGGAATCGGTGAGATGTCTGGCTGATGTTTCGTGTTGCTTGATACTTAGGTTACCAAATCCATGGATTGTTATATGAAACTTCCACGTGGTTGGATGTATTTATTTTATTCACAACAAACTGTTATGAAGTTTGTCAACGATATAATATTCCCTTATTTTAAAGATTGATACAAATTATGACATGATCATCCATGTTCGAGAGACAATACTTACAACAATAGCAATTACTCTTAGTAGTTTAATTAAGCATATAAGTTTATGACATGGTAATAATAATTGCAGTATGAGATGCCAGGAACTACCATGACATACATTAGATATATCATCTTATAATTATACATGCTAACATAGTATAACCTATTTGAGGCCAGAAATTCGTTTCACTGCTGTGGAATCAGCTTAAGATAAAAGAACCATAGAAGTTAAATTTCAATTAGCTACATTTAGCATAAGTTAAGGAAATCTAAAACATTACACATACCTTCCTTCTATTGGATCTAGTTGTATTAGCAACTTCTTCTTTTTTTCTGAGCCATGATATTATATAAAATACATTTGCTCACTATATTTTCTATCACAGAAGATCATCTAAAGAGAAATTAAGAAAAAATATGGAAGTTAAAGAAGCATGGAAGGGTTATTATGCATTCTTGAACACTTTCTGTGGGTTCTTCTGTGGTTAGGAAGGTTTCCTATGGCCCAGCTTATGTTGGCTGGAAGAACCACCTCTATTGAAGCTCCAATGAGATATCTTCTTGTAAGGTTCTGACAAGTGTTGCAAAGAAAGCACCTAATATGCCTAAGGGCCAAAAAGTTGGCACCATGAACCCCTTTATCACATTCTCCACACAAATATGCATCATCAGCTTGGCAATACAATGAAGCTTGTAATCCGCACAGCTCACAACATGTAGAACCGCTGGTTGCACCAGATGAAGCTCTCTTTTTATGTGGCAAGCTGCTGCAAAAACCATGTTTTTCTCCTCCTGTACCCTTGCACATATTTAGAAGTTCTATTTGATGATGATAATAATAATAACAAAGCTTGGTGCGTGGTACTTGGTGTTTTTCTGAATAAATGGTGTAGCTTTGGGTTATGGGAAGATGAATAAAAGCCTTTTTATAACAAGTCATCAGCATGAATAATATTTCTATGGATGAATGCTACTAGACAAGGACATGGGTGGAACTGTGTCACGTAATCACACGTGTCAGAATATTAACCGATTTGTTTTTTTTCCAATGGTGCCAAAGGGTCAATTTAGTCATCAAAGAGGGAGAAAGAATTTGTGATTCCACTTGTTTTGACAAAATAGAAAAAGGAAAGAAAAAGAAAAATAGGTAACGTATGATTAAGCTTTAAGCTTCATCAGATGCTTGAAGGGTTGTTATGAGCCATAATTTGTGTTGTTGAGTGGTTAGCAAGTCAATTGAGGTGCTAAGAAGAAAGGTTTATTGTATGGTCTAGAATTAGCACCTTTAAATTTGTGACCCACCAGAGCCCATTTGGTTGCACGTAAGGCCACTTGAAATGGAAACTGATTGACTTGTTGGTATTGGTTGAGAACTTGTGTGGTTTTGTACCCTTTTTTTGTCTTTCACGGTTGGACCAAAAACCTATTGAAGTGTTACTTTTGCAAAGCACACGAGAAAAACAAGGTCCCTGTCCCTATATTGTTCTTGAGGGTGACATATTAGTCCACATGTATGGTTGAAACCTTAGGAGCATCAGCTAGCCCATTACTTCTCACCAATATGAGTTGGTGATTCCAAAGAAACACAAAGTTGATGGACAAGGAAGAATGAAATATGATTGGGTTTTATTTGCTGACTTTCTAAGTGTTTTGCTTTGAATTCTAACCGTTCAATTGGCAGAACAAGCAACAACCTTGCAGAATAACTCTAGTGATGATAGCTAACAGGTTATTTGCAAGATGATTAAGGTTTTAATTATGGATCTAGAAAATTCTCATATTCCCTTTCTCCTCTCCCAACCACCAAACAAAAAAGTAAATTGGCAGAACAGACAACCACTAAAGAGCCAATCAGATTAGATATCAAGTAATAAAATTTAAGTCATTGAATGAAAAAGGGAATTGTTTCTGATGTTGTACCAGTTGGGAGAGAAGTAAACTTTTCCACTTAACTATTATTATTCAAGGTGATTGAGTCAATTTATTATGACTTGTAACTATCAGAATTCGAATTGTACTGCAATTTTTATTTTGAAAAGGACTCTCTTATTTTTTTTCCTAAAGTAATTCATTTCATAAAAATGAGGTTGGAAAGGCCTATTTTTTGGTCTCATTGAGAAAATCTTAAGAACAGAGTTATGGGTATGGAGTATGGATGTCGTGCGCCTCCATATGTCACATAGGCCACACAATTTCTGGCTTCAAAGTCTCAAGTAATGCTTTAAATCGTCGCTATTTGGTTAGAATGAGTAATACTCGCATTTCGTTGCGTGTACCCTGGGGAAGCATATTCAATGGATTTGAACTTTTAAAAGATCGCATACTTCCAATCAATGATTCATCAAATTCAAATGGTCTTCGTATTAGTTATGCTCTTATTAAAAAAAATCCTATCGATACTCATTACCAAATATTAATCGAATAAGTCTTGTCTGCTTTAACATGTTAACTCAGTACAATTTTAGAGACAGAGATATCTCTTACAATTTTGCTTCTTCTTTTCTAGTAAGGTTAGAATTTTTGTCATTGGGCCATGTGTAAAGCTATGCAAATGATTCTATTTTTATTTTATTGTGAACTCTGTATATGAAATTACCAATTGACTTAATCCAATCACATCGGTCAACTTAAGCCCACACTCTTAAATTGATTGATTTGTTTAAGCCCGAATGTCTTCTTAATTCTTCTTCTTCTTCTTCTTTAACTATAAAGGCTTGTGTTTGTTAATAATAATAAAAATATAAAAGCTTGTGCTTTCAAATTGTGTGAAAACAAAGATATAACTGATGCATAATACTTTCTTTTTCTACCCTCTCAAGTTTTAAACATATTGTAAGTGTTTCGGGGCACAATTTAAAATTGAGATATTGTTTTCCAATGGGAGTTTATATGTAGCTTACACGTATGAAATTAAGAGGGGATTTTCATTTAATTCTTCAAAATTAATCGTAACAATAGTTTCATTCTCTTTAAAGTTAACATCAATTTTATTTCTCTATATAAAAAAATCACATTAATTTAGCTCTTCGATCTAAGGTTCCATTAATGGTATTTACTTAGTCCTAATAAAAAGGATCATTTTGTGGTGAATTTTAATAATTGGAGGAGTAATTTGTCAATTTTCATCCGAGAATTAAATTAATGACGCGTAGTTTGGAAGATTAAAATAATAATTTATTGTGTCATGTATCTGTTTTATATAAAAACTCATGTTGACCTAGTAATAAAAGAACTCGTATTCATGTTAAAAGGAACCTAAACAATAATTTATTAAAAATAATTAAACAATTACATGCTAATTGCAAATTATTTTTAACGATATTTAAGTGAAGTAATTAAGTCAATGATTATAACTGTAGTTCTCGTTACTTACTATTATTTTTCTTTAAATTCTAGCTTATCGAATATCTTTGTCATAGTTTCCTTTCATTATTCAAAATTTGTCCTTTGATATTCGAAGCATACTAACATATCCATTCTTGTTTTGGCTTTTATTAGATGAAGAAACAAGGCATTTAAAATTTCAGATGCGGTTTATATATGTGCGTTCCCATCAGTAATCCAAGACTTGTTGAATGCATAGAGATCAAAACTTGACATTTGCAAGCATTGTGAAGATTAAATGTATATTTTAATCTTAATATTATTTTTATATAGGTATCTTAATTCTGACACACTAAAATTACTCCTGGAAGTGGCGCTTCTGCCCCCATTTAATAATTAAAAAAAAAGCTCAATTTATCTTAAAATTTACTTCATTATTGAGACCAAAATTGTAAAACTACAGCACGATATTTCATGTGCACGTAAATGCATTGAGTAAAGCATTTGAGGAGGAGTAAGGCACCCTATTCTTCACAAATTCATGGACTTCCACAATAGTTGACTTTGAATCATGATTCAACAAGAGGGGTTTATTTTAGGATTAATAAAAGTTTAAACGATTGAACATAGTTGAAATGTGTATTAATTAGTCCTAAGTTTTTATTGAGATGTGAGTTTAAAATTAATTTTGTAAGGGTAAATTAATCATGCAGGCACTGAATTTAGACCTTCACCAGTTTACAAACAAACCAACCTTGTTGGAAAACACATGGAGAAGTAACTTGAAACTTTGAAGTTTCCATTTTCCAAGTTTTCTAAAACCGCGGATTGTGGTGGCACTTTGCATATTGTATTGTAGTTCAAACTTGTATCTAAGCAAGTTTTGTCACACGTATAATAATCTGCATTTGCAGAATTTCATCTAGCTCCCTCGTTAATCATGAAGTCATTTCATAATCTTATCAGAACCCAACCTCTGATGAAATTCATTTTAGTCTCCTCTTCACTTTGTGCCATTTCTCTATCTATATCTATGCTAATCTTAGCCACACCAAAGATAGTAGAAGTGGGTTCCTCACTACAAGATGTGCCTGATCCTAACACTATTGATCATCTTGTGTTTGGAATTGCTTCAAGTGGAACTTCATGGCCTAAAAGGAAGGAATACACCAAACTTTGGTGGACCTTGAAACCCAATAAAAGAATGAGAGGGTGTGCTTTTGTGGATACCCTCCCACGTGAAGAAAATCCCAACAATGATGGTTTGCTTCCTCCTCTTTGTGTCTCTGAAGACACTTCCAAGTTTCTCTACACTTACAGGCCTGGTGGTCTAAGATCAGCAATCCGTGTGGCACGTGTTGTGAAAGAGACTTTGGCATTGAACCATTCTGGTGTTAGATGGTATGTGTTTGGAGATGATGACACCATTTTCTTCCCTCAGAATCTGGTGAAAACTCTTTCCAAATATGATCATAGGCTTTGGTACTATGTCGGGTCTTACTCTGAGATTTATGAGGCATCCCAGGGTTTTGGTTTTGGAATGGCTTTTGGTGGAGGTGGTTTTGCCATCAGTTCCTCTCTAGCAAAAGTCCTAGCCAAGTTTTTGGATTCATGTTTAGAAAGGTATCCACATTTGTATGGAAGTGATGCCAGGGTGTACTCTTGCATAACTGAACTAGGTGTGGGATTAACGCATGAACCAGGTTTTCATCAGGTATAAATTAGTTTCAAAATGCTGAAAATATTTTGTGATTATTTCTTCTCTTCTTTATTATGCTAATTAAATGTCTATTTGTGTGATTTGTGAAATTGGATTAGGTTGATTTACGGGGAAATATTTTTGGCCTATTGGCTGCACATCCATTAAGCCCCTTGTTATCACTACATCACCCAGATCACACTGATCCTATCTTTCCTAACATGACAATTAGAAACTCTCTACAACATTTATTTGAGGCGGTTAATGTTGATTCCGAGAGGATCCTTCAACAAACAGTTTGCTATGAAAGGCAGTTTTCATGGACAATTTCAGTGTCATGGGGCTATGCTGTTCAAATATTCCAGAACAATTTGCTTTTGCCAGATGTTTTGAGAGCGGAAGAAACATTCAAGCAATGGAAGAAAGGAAATGTTTTGGCAGGGATATATACTTTCAATACAAGAAAACTTCACCCTGATCCATGTAAAAGACCCACTATTTTCTATCTAGACAAAGTGTCTTCTGGCAAAGATGGCATCATTAGCAGTTACAGAAAATATTTTCATAATTGCTCAAATAACAAGGACTCACTAAAGAAATTGGAAGTGATCAAAGTGGTCACAAATAAGTTAGACCTTGACAGCGAACAGGTAATCTATCCTGGTATTTCTTCATATTTGTGCAATTAATTAGGAGAATGGCTTTAGTTACATTACTTAATAGTAATAATACAACTTATAAACTATTATTTAATTTGTATTTAGTTGCAGACTCCAAGAAGGCACTGTTGTGATGTGTTGCCCTCTACCGCTGATGACTTAATGGAAATTGCAATCAGAGAGTGCAAAAATGAAGAACTGATTCACATGCACTGAAACCCACATATGTATTTTATTAAACCTCTTTTGATATACTCAAGCTGAAGGCATCCTTGAAGAACATTGCTAATGGGTATGAGAAGGCAAGAGATGGTATAAAAGAATTTTCAATCTATATTTCCAACTTAACTTTAATTTCATATATGCCACAAATAATTTACTCGGTTCAACCCAAATTTGCCAAGGAAATGGAAAACCACATCATTGGGGAATGCCTTTGGAGTTTGGATGCAATTCTAGTTTCTCAAGTTCAACCATTCTATAGGTTCAAGTTCAACAATGCAGCTGTCATCTCCACTAGTGCGATTTTCTGGGATCTTATTCTATCATATCTCCCAATACATCAATAGCAGAGCACATGAAACAACTAGCTAGCTACTCCCAAAACAACCTGGTCAACTGCACTATATTTTGTAATGAATTGAAGCAATTCAGTAATTTTTTTGCCTCAACAATTTGTAACGATGGTTGGAGAAATTTTTTCTATGTACTTTATTTAAATATTTTTTATTTTAATACTCTTAAATTAGTTATTATAAATTTCAATTTGTTATACACACAACATTGCAGTATTGTAAATTTCTATAATTAATTTATAGGTCGATAAATATTTTAATCTTCACATCTTTTTGCAAGGGGTATCCGAAGAGAAATTCAGTTATGTTATTTGAATAACTAAAATTAATATATATATATATATATATATATATATATATATGATACACTAAATAATAAATGAGACAACCAAATTGTTCAAAAATAATTTCTAAAAAAATTATAGGCACAACCATATTAATATGGGTATGTGTAAATTACTTTATAGAATAAATAACTTTATCCTAAATACAGTAATGAAATTTTCTTTGCAAAAAATTAAATAAATAAATGCTTGAAGGTGCGCTTCCCCAAAAAATAAAATAAAAAATCCTAGTTTTATTCCTCTACGTGGTATGGAATTATTTGCCTTAAAACCTACAAATATTTATAGCACCTGGGATGTCTCTGCTTGAAGGTGCGCTTCCCCAATCCCAGTTCGTTGAATAAATCTAGCAGACTTGTTGAAATTTCTGTTTGGAAAGAGGAAAAAATTTATATTTTTAAATAAATTTTTAAAATTAATATTTTTGAAAATAAAAATAAAAATTAATATATTAATATAAATTTAATATATTAATAATATATTTATTATGTTAAATGATATATAATTTTTTAAATTTAAAAAAATATATCATCTGCTCCCTTTTCTTAAAAAAAATTCCTGCGGAACATACCCCTAACCGGTGACCTCCACCAATAGTGCGGCTCTGTTTGGAACAAAGGCTTTGGTTTCTTCTGGGTACACACCAACCTCGTGGAATACACACCGATTAAAGCTTTGGAATACACAAAAGAAATGTTCCTTCAAACATAGTAACTCCCTAGAAATCCGAAAAGTTCAAGTTTTCCTTTAGCTTTTTTACGCCGTGGATTACGGTGGCACTTTGTTTCATACTATATATAAAGTTGAAATTTGTCTTTAACTTTTTTCAACATTTCAAGATACCAACAAGAGCAATAATCCTCTGCATCTGCACAACTACATAGATCCAACTCCCTCGTTAACATGCTGTCACTTCACAAAACCACCACAACCTTATCTTCCGTGAACTTGCTTTTAGTCTCTTCTTTTGGTGCCATTAACATCCTCGTATGATTGCTACTTTTAATCACATCATCGAAGCTAGTAAACGTGCATTCATCATCACAAAATGTGAGTGAACCTACCTCTACAACACTTGATCATCTCGCGTTTGGAATTGTCTCAAGTGGGTCTTCATGGCCAAAGAGGAAGAATATATATATCAAAGAAACCCAATACAACAATGAGGGGATGTGTATTCGTGGATAAGCATCCAAACCCATAGGAAGAAAATGCTAACAATTACGAGGATTCTCTTTTTCCTAAGTGTGTTGCGGTTTCGCTTCACTCGCAAGATTGCCATGCGATCAGCAATATTGGAGGGGCACGTGTTGTGAAAGAGAAAGTGGCAATGAACCATTCTGATGTCAGGTGGTATGTGTTTGGGAATGATGACACGGTTCCCTCAGAAAGTGGTCAAAAGTTTTTCAAAATATGATCATGGTCTTTGGTACTTTACATATTGGTGCCAACTCCGAGAGTTTTAAGCAGAACTGATTTTGTGGCTTTGGAATGGCGTATGGTGGGGCAGGTTTTGCTATCAGTTCCTCTCTAGCAAGAGCCTTGGGCAGGGTTTTTCATTCGTGTATATCCACATCTGTATGGAAGTGAACGCCAGGGTGTACTCTTTGTATAACTGAACTAGGTGTAGGATTAGCCCGGTTTTCACCAGGTTACATTTATTATTTTTTGAGATATGTTTTTCAATACTGAATGCAGTAAAAGATATGATAAAACAAAGACGAATAGAGAAAGAATAAGGTGTATGGTCAGGTGTACGTTATTATTGGTTTTTAAATATTAATGACAAAACTTAAGTGAATTATTATATATAGTTTTTATGTTCTTCAACTAAATAGTATATGTCAATTTTTAATGCTGATTTTTATCATAAAAATTATTTAAAATTTTAATTATAATTAAAAAAATAACTATAAAAGTATTTATAACATTGCTCCTCCTTTGTTTTGTCTTAATATTAATTCTTTTATTTTGTGATTGTGAAATTGGATTAAGTTGATTAAAGGGGATGCACATCCTTGATTATGTGAATCAATTCTTATCAAATTATTCTCACATAACATGTTGTCTTAAATTTAAAATACTGTTATATTAAATACTGAAAGTAAGAGTTTTATCACTCACATTAATCTTATCTAACTTGAAAGATGGATGTATTTTAAAAAAATAACATCTAGTTTATGGGTTACACATCATCCTTGTTTTTCCTATACCACCTAAATTAAACTTGTCTAATTTTTTCTAACATGACAATTATGAAGGCTCTACAACATTTATTTAAAGCTGTTAATAATGTATTATACTAGACGATTCTACAACAAAGAGTTTGTATGAAAGATGGTTTTCATATACAATCTCATATTCTTGGGGTCATGCTATTCAGATATTCTATTACATGTATTTGCCAAATATTTTGAGAGTTCTCAATAAACATTCCAACATTGGACAAAAGAAATTGTTTGTAGTACTTAAATTAGAATTAGTTAAAAGGCACATGGAACAGGTAGCAACTAATTTGAAAAATTGGAAAGGTGAGGCAAATGACGTACTATAAGTGCTAAGACACAGAAATAGAATCTTAAAGAAATTATTAAGGATGAGAAAAAGCGAGGTAATATAAGGTGAAAAGATCATGGTTGTTGGATAAAGAAGATTATCAAAATTTCTTTCCTAGCTCCCCTTTTCCTTCTCTTAGGATTTCCCTTTTCTTATTTTTGTCTATTTCTTGCTGCAATATTATCATAATCGTGTTGGTTGTCAAGAGACAGTTACAATTAATACAAGGTTTTCTTTTCAAAGATATATATTGTCTCTCCTATATAAATTTTATAAGATCATTACATTTTTTGTGCTTTCGTTTCTCTTTGATGGCAGAAAATACTCGTTTGAAGGATATTTCAACTAAATTGAAACGCCTCTTCGAGCTCACTAACCAATGTGAGACTGCATCCACTGCTCGCACCGCTTTGATACTTCACTTCAGTCATTTTTCAAAATAGTAGACGCTTTGACTAGGACAGTTGATTGCTTATCCCCCACTGTCGTCCATCGGAGCACTGCCACCACACCCTATCCACACCCGTCAAGTTAAATTGGCTTTTCGGTGCTGAAAATTTTTTCTCTTATTACGATACACTTGATCCTCAACAACTGATGATTGCGGCAGTTCATATGGAAGGGGTTGTCATCCCTTGGTTCCAAATGTTGCAAAAGGTGCCCAGGTTATAGAGACTTAATTTGGCCCATCTCAGTTTGACTACCCTTATTCCACATTATTCAAGTTATAAGCCAACATAATTCGATAGCCTAATACTATACAAAATTTATGACCATTGCAACTCGAGTGGATGGGATGATGCATTGCTGAACTATTTTGTGAGTGGTTTGAAACTTGATATCCGTAGGGATGTCATCTCCCAGTCCTTGACTTCTCTGCTTCAAGTCGCTCTTTGATGAGAAAAATACTTTGGTGGGTCCAGTTACCAAATCATGCCCTAATTTTTCGTCTTCTGCCACCAAAACCACAACCTACATCAACCCTATAGCTTCCTTCACTCCAACCTCTTCACATTTCCCCTTGAAATCTACCCAATCGCCCTTGCTGCCCACCTCGACCATCAAACCCTTGCCTCCTATCAAGCTATCACAAGCTGAGATGACGTTATGCCAAGAAAAAGGATTATATTTCACCTATGATGACAAATACACTTGGAACCATAAATGTCCAAATCATCACTATATAATCTTTCAACTAGAGCCATAATGAGGACTCAGTTGATTCCTCTTCCCCTAATGACCAACCAGGGGTGCCTTAAGGAGGCACCCAATCTCTTGTGCATCTTTTGGTGTGGTTACTATCCAATTCACCAGCCACATTAATGGTATTGTGGTCCATGTTTTGTTGGATGGGGGTAGTTTGAACGATTTCATTCAGCCTCGCTTGGCCCACTACCTGCACCTTCCCATTGAACCAACCCCTAACCTACGCATAATGGTAAAAAATGGCTATTTATAGATTGTGAAGGTGTTGTCCAACAATTGCCTCTAGTTATTCAGGGTTACCTTATTACGTGCCAAACCTATGTATTTCTTGTGACGAGTGTTGACATTGATCTAGGGGTCTCTTGGTTGGCCACTCTTGGTGCCCACGTTGCAAATTACAATACCTTTACTCTTCATTTTTACCTCAATGGTTAGTTTGTGACTTTATAAGGTGACAAACGCCTCGCCGCAGCCCCTGCCCAATTTCATCATCTGAAATGACTATCTGCTACACACGCCAATGCAGAATTATATACCCTCCAATGCTTATAGGTTGATTTAGAGGTCACAACTACTCTCCAATTGTCTCTTGATACTCATTCAGATTTGGCAACCTTATTTTAGCAGTACTCCATTATATTCACAGCTCTTAAAGCGCCCCCCCCCCCCCCTCCCGGGGCGGATCATGTCATTCTTCTGCTAAAGGGTACCCCCCCCAATGAAGGTTAAACCCTACTGATACTCATTTTACGAGGAAATTTTCATTGAGAAAATGGTCCATGACATGCTTAATGAGGGCTTAATTCAACCAAGTATTAGTCCTTGCTCTGCCCCCATCTTATTGGTTAAGAAGCAGGATGGTTTGTGGCACTTTTGCACCAATTATCGTGCTCTCTATACAGTAACTGTGAAGGACTCCTTTCTTATCTTGACGATAGATAAAATGTTATATGAGCTCTAAGGTCCCAATATTTCTCAAAACTTGATCTTTGCTCTGGTTACCATCAGATTCTTGTTAAAATAGAAGATCATTTTAAGACTGCATTTTGTACTCACCAAAGTTTGCATGAGCGGATCGTCATGCCGTTTAGCCTCACCAACACCCTTGCAATGTTCCAAGCCTTAATGAATTATGTTTTCTAGTCATTCTTATGTAAATTTATTTTAGTTTTCTCTTATGATATTTTGATTTATAGTGTTGATTAATCTTCTAAAAGTTCTCAACAAACATTCCAGCACCGGATAAAAGGAATTGTTTGTAGTGTTTAAAGCAAAATTAGTTAAAAGACACATGGAATAGGAGGTAAACGATCTGGAAAATAAAAAATGTGAAGCAAATAACAGACCACGGGTGTCAAAAAAGAGGAATAAAATGTCAAAACAATCGTTAAAGATGAGAGAAAGCGAGCCAATATAAAGTAGAAAGACCTTAGTTTTTGAGAAAATTATCAAAATTACCTTCTTTAACTTTCCTTTTTCCTTCCCTTAAAATTTCATTTTTTTCTTATTTGTCTATCTCCTACCACAATATTGTCATAAGCGGATTGGTCGTTAAAAGTTATAACTGATCTATAGTTTCAACACGAGAAATTCACCTGACCCGTGTAGAAAGAAGGCCGGTAAAACCTAATCATCACCAGAAGTGATCTTTATTAGACCCAAATGATTTTACATTGGTAACACTAGTTATATATGAACTATTCTTTAATTTGTAGTTGCATACTCAAAATGATACTGTTGTGATGTATTGCCCCTAGTATTCCTAACCTAGTGGAGATTGCAATAAGAGATACCGAAGAATACATACAAATTCAAGTTTGTCTTATGCTTATTTATATTATTTCTTTTTGCTCTCTCTTTTTTTAGTAAAATAAATATTTTTAAAGCTATTATAAATTTGCGAGCAGTGTGAAATTAAGTTTTTACACTTTACTATGCATAAATTGACTTACAAAATCAATATAATTTTCGCAAACCATTTTTTGTATTAAAATAAATCATTTTTTATTTTTTCTTACTTTTAATAAAATCAATGACAACTCGATTTTTAAACAACTTTTTGGGAAAAAAAAAAGTATTTTTTCCTTTCATTGCAATTACAGTCGTACCACAGCTAGTGAGATTTTGAGATCGTATTCTGACTTGTCTTCAACTACATAAATTGCATTGCATGTGAAACTACTACTACCTAGTTACTCCAAAAACAAGCAAACTAGTCAACTGCAGAGTATTTTGTAATGAAACGAAGCAAATCAATAATGTTTTAGCCTCGACAATTTGTAAATTGTAATGATGGTTGGAGATTTTTTTTTTTTCATGCATTCTATTTTAATATTTTTATTTAAATACTCTTAATTTAGATATAACAAATTTGAATTTGTTATACACGCAATATTGCAGTATTGTAAATTTTACGTCAACTATAATCAATTTGGAGATCGAGAAATTGAATAAAGAATTTAATCTACACATCTTCTATTTGCAAGCGGTATTTGACGAGAAATTTAGCTATAATATTTTGAGTAACTAAAAACTAACACCGTGTATTATGATTCAGTGATATCAAGTATTTAATATAGACAATTAAATCATTTAATAATGTTTTATAGAAGATAACATTTTTATATTATCTTCATATTATATGTCTATATACATTAAATTTTATATAATTTAAATATTTATAAATATATTATTTAAAATTTTATATTTTAAAATATATTATACATCACAATAAAATAATATGATAAAGTATTTATTCAATTTATTTTTATATAAAATTAATCTAATCAATAAGAACTTTCAATATTAATTTAATATTTAATGAAAAGATAATAAGTATGGTAACTAAATTGTATTTGTTTTACTCAAGACTTTTATAAATTGAATTGACTATAAAAATTATGATCAATTAAAAATAACTAAAATATCGAATTTCACACAAAATAAAAAATATTAAAAATTTTATTTTTTAAACTTTAATATCACATCTTATAAAAAAATTTAAATTTTATCAATTGTTTGTTAATTCTTTTACTTTTGAACTTTTAGAATAATTCTAAATTTCCAAATTCATTCAAATTCTAATAAAAATAATAATTAAAAAATAAAGAATTAAGGCTTCAATCGATTGAGAATTAAATAATTAACTAAACAAATAAATGGAACAATAAAAATTGTTAAAAAATAATTTCTAAGAAAAGTTTTGATATGCGCAACTAAACAAATATTTGTAGGACCAAGATGTCCTTGCTTGAAGGTGGCTCTTCCCCAATCCCCATTAGTTGACTTGAATGAATCTCCTAATGAATGAGTTCGATTCGACCAATAGTGTGGCCCTAATTGGAACAAAGGCCTCGTATTCTTCTGGGTACACACCAACCATGTGATATATACACCAATTGAGGAAAATGGAATACACGCAAGAAATGCTCTTTCGAATAAAGTTGAAGTTTCCTTTAGCTTTCGTACGCCACGGATTACGGTGCCACTTTGTTTCATTCTATATAGCTTAAATTTATCTGCAAAATTTTTTCAACATTTCAAGAAACCAACAAGCAATAACCCTCTGCATCTGCACAACTACACAGATCCAACTCCCTCGTTAAAATGCAGTTACCTCACAAAACCACAATCCAATCTTTGGTAAAGTTGCTTTTATTCTCTTCTTCATTTGGTGCCATTTACATCCTCGTATCAGTGCTACTTTTAGCCACATCATCAAAGTTAACAAATGTGCGTTCTTCATCACAAAATGTGAATGAACCTACCCCTACCACACTTGATCATCTCGTGTTTGGAATTGCCTCAAGTGGGTCTTCATGGCCTAAGAGGAAAGAATATATAAAACTATGGTGGAGCAAAAAACCTAATACAACAATGAGGGGATGTGTATTCGTGGATAAGCTTCCAAACCCACCTGAAGAAAATGCTAATAATTATGAGGATTCACTCTTTCCTTTGTGTGTCTCTGAAGATACTTCTCGGTTTCGCTACACTAGCAAGACTGGCATGCGATCAGCGCTTCGAGTGGCACGTGTTGTGAAAGAGATAGTGGCAATGAACCATTCTGATGTTAGGTGGTATGTGTTTGGGGATGATGACACGGTTTTCTTCCCTCAGAATGTGGTCAAAACTCTTTCCAAATATGATCATGATCTTTGGTACTACATTGGTGCCAACTCCGAGAGTTTTAAGCAGAACTGGTTTTGTGGCTTTGGAATGGGGTATGGTGGGGCAGGTTTTGCTATCAGTTCCTCTCTAGCAAGAGTCTTGGCCAAGGCTTTTGATTCGTGTATACAGAGGTATCCATATTTGTATGGAAGTGATGCCAGGGTGTACTCTTGTATAGCTGAACTAGGCATAGGATTAACACGAGAACCCGGCTTTCACCAGGTAACATTTATGTTCCTTTTTTAGGTAAGTTTTCGTTTAGTACACCTACAAACAAACAAGGATGTGATAAATGATGTAACATGATATAAAAAAAGGAAAAAAGAGTAGAGATATTAATTCTCTATTTTGTGATTTTGACATTGGATCAGGTTGATTTACGAGGAAATATCTTTGGTTTATTGGCTGCACATCCAGTGACACCCTTGTTGTCCTTGCATCACCCGGAACTCACTGATCCAATTTTTCCGAACATGACAAATTTAAAGGCATTGCAACATTTATTTGAAGCAGTTAATGTTGATTCTCAGAGGATCCTACAACAAACCGTTTGTTATGACAAACGATTTTCATGGACAATCTCAGTGTCTTGGGGTTATGCTGTTCAGGTATACCACGGTCACATGTCTTTGCCTGATGTTCTTAAAGTTCAACAAACATTCGAGCGCTTTACAAAAGGAACTCCCTTAGCTGACCTATATAGTTTCAACATACGAGGATTTCATCCTGACCCGTGTAAAAGGCCCACTATTTTCTATCTAGACAATTTGTCCCATGGTAAAGATGGCATCATAATAAGCAGTTACAAGAAATCTTTTCAAAATTGCTCATCCAACATAGCATCACCAGAAGTTATTAAAGTGGCCACAAGTAAGCTAGACCTTAACATCAAACAGGTAAATTTTATTACATATATTAATTTCTTCATGGCCTGTTAGTTTAGGAGATGATGAACATGCATTGATTACGCAACTTATGAGCTGTTCTTGAATTTGTATTCAGTTGCAGACTCAAAGAAGACATTGTTGTGATGTATTGCCCTCTAGCGTTCCTGAACTAATGGAGATTGCAATAAGAGAATGCAAAGAAGATGAATTGATTTACATGCACTGACAAATCAGAAATTTAGAAGTATAGCAAAAGGCATCGTATAAAAGAACGTTACTAGAGCAAATGTGTGTCATTGAATGGTTGTAAAGGTATATATCACCAATTATAAAAATTTGATTTTTCATGGATGCTAGCATATAGCTAACACGCAAGATGAGGAATGATTTGGACGATATAATTGTGTAATTTTCCCTATCTGAAGGTTCAGCACACATGACAACTCCGCAACGCGATCTCGATGAATGGTAATTTTATTCTGCCATATGTCTAAATAAAATAATCGCATGAGATGAGAAATAAAGTTTTTATGGGAAGTCTCACATATGTGCATCTTTATCGTAACATACGGGAGTCTTTTTGCTAACTTTTTTAAGACGCATTTAATTGAGTTATATAAATGAATAAAAATAGTTTTTATTTTTTAAATATTATAATATGATAAGTTTATTTTCATTTAATATGATTGAATTTAGCTTCGTTATCAATATTTATAATTGTTTCTACCAACTCTATTTATTAAGTGAAAATAAATAAATAATAATACTAATATTCTACAAAAATTATATAGAACCTTATAATAAGGACTTTTAAATTTTTTCAAAAGTATCTGATAAAAAATAAAACAAAGAGAGGAGTATAATTTTTTTTTATTTTCTTATTGTCATTTTATATTTCATTTTCTTAAAAGGGTGAAAAATAATTACTTTTCATTTTTATATAAATTTGAAAATAAAAAATAAAAAATAATTTAAAAATTTAAATAGATTCTTATGTTCTTATAATTAAATTTTAAAATCAAATAATAGTATGCATTATAAAAAAAATTATTAGAAAAGACTGTATCTACTTAAGTGGTCTCCACTCAAAACAAAATAGGTTAACTGTCAACTAAAGGATATTTTTTTGTATATATATATATATATAATCATCAAATATGTATGTGGTAAATTTAAGTTCACGTTATTAATATTGAAGAGTTTTCTCAATTTATTTTTTTAATATGCCTCAAGAATTGTTATATATTAAATATCTCATATCTTATATTTTATTTTATTTTTCTTAAATACCATTATTAAAATTATTGAATCCTAATTTATCTCATCGTTAATATTAAAGCTTTCCATATTTAAATTTAAATTTTAATAAATCATAAAATATTAATAATTGATACATATAATTCATTTTTATAATTTTTTAATTTAAAAAAAATTTATTACTTTAATTTATTTTTTGATTACAAAATAATTTCTCTCTCTCTCTCTCTTTTTTTTCCAGTGAAAACATCTCCTATTATATTATACCCTTCTCTAAAACTCGTGGTTTAAGTTTGATAGTGATGATGTTTTATTTATTTTTTATTTATACGTTGTATCTTATCTAAATAAACAAAAAAATACCTGTGTAACTTGTAGGAAATTTATTAGTGTTTTTTCTTTAATATTTGTAATGGACCATGTATCATTATTTGATTAGAAAATTGAAAAAAAAATATGATAAACTTTATTTAAATTTTATATGTGATTTACATGTATTAAATAAGATGTAAATCTAGAATCAAATACGTGGACAAACATGAATCAGTTGGGAATCTAAAATAATGTTTAGTTTTCAGAAAAGTTTAATACAATTGATACGCAACTGAATTTGTCAACCATGTTCATCACAATAATTACTAAAAAGATAAAAATCTGTCACTTCAGAGTTATCTATCCATCAAATTACGTCTAATGGTTTAAAGTAAGGTTTCCATACTCTAATCAATGGATAAAATAAAATAAAAGTGTATATTACTTTTAAACATGAACTTTAATATTATATTTTACAAGGGTAATGTTTGAATTGATTCTTTGGTTTTGATTTTTAAAATAAATTCCATTTTTGAAATATTTTGACTATAAGTCTATCTTTAAGCTATTAAGTAAATATATACTAAATATTTATTTAAATAAATTTTGTAATACACGAGTAAATTGATCATGGACTTTCCCTAATACTAACACGTATTGATTTTATTTTATTTTTTAATTTTAAATGAAATTTCTTTTCGATTAATTACGTAATTTAATTATAAACATTTTTAATCTATATTTTTAATTTTTTATTTAAATTCAAGAAAACGACAGTGTAGTACGTGAATATTTTTTTTTTCTAATACTTTTCTTTTTCTAGAAGCTGGTAAAAATTTCTAATATTCCAGGCTGGCTCATTAAAGAGGCGTGATTGAGGAAAGAGCTCTGTTTTCAATCGTATCGTAAAGATGTCATTATCTATTCCCAAGTCAAAACCACCGTAATTAACAATTTTACACTGATATTTTGGAAGAATAATTAGATTTTTTTAATTCCTTTTACAACAGGTGTATCTTTATTTCTCTTAGTTATTTAAAAATATATTATAAAAACTACAATTATTTGATTTCGTAATTTTCACAAAACATATATACACAATTATTTTGTTAGTTCTTCCTCAAATTCAAAGTTACCAAAATAATCACTTAAAATTTTTATATTATTAAAATGTATTAGTTGTGAAAATTATTATTTTAACTATAACATTTCACTAATTGATGAAATTGTAACCTCAAAATAAGTAGTATCACAGTAAATAAACTTAAAAAACAAAGTGCATAAAATATTAAATATTACTGGCACAAGATTATCCTCTTGCATTAGATCATGGAAAAAAAAAGACATGATACAGATCAGTAATAGATTGTTTGGAGGCTTAATCTCAACGTCAACAATGTCCCCAATCTAAAATAAGGATGAAAAGGAGTTATATGTGAGCGGCTGGCAGCGATGCAGGTCCCGGTGAGTGATTGGCAACCTACCAGAAGAGCAGCAACGACACAGTAGTTCCTGGTTGCAAAGTTGGGAAAAGTGAGCATTGCACAGTAAAAACTAAAAATGACAAAAGGATTTGGAGAAATAAAATATTTTTTATTTGATGTAATGTTTAATATGTAAAAGTCTTAATTTGATGTAGTTATATAAATTATTTTTTATTAGACAATTTTTAATATGCAAAAATCTTAAAACTAAAAAAAGTATTTATTTTCATTACTATGCTATTTTTAACGAGAACTAAAAAAAATTCTTCTTTAATTAGAAGTATTTAATTTATATATATATATATATATTTATTTATTTATCCAATTTAATCTAAATTTAAGCTTAATCACATACTAAATGTAATGAGTTAATTTATTACTGAAAATATTTTATATACACAAAAATTCAAAATATAATTATACATTCTCTCATTGATTCATGATAAAGTATGTTTTCATATATATTGAATTGATCTAGAAATATTATAAATTTTCCTCCATAATCTATTACACATGAACATTAGGTTAAATACGTGTTAAACGGATAGAACCTTGACTTCCTATCCTTTAACTGCTCATGAATTCATTAAAATAATTATTATTATTAAAGAAGACTATAAAGGCATTATTTTTAGTTAATGTGTCACTTTATGAGACTTTGCATGTGCTTTTTAATAACATTTATATTATGGATTTTAACTTTTAAAATATTTTAATCAACGATATATGTATCCATTAATTGTAATATATAAAGTGTTTTAACCCCTTTAGTAATGTTTTACATATAAAGTATTACCTCTTGTTGTTTATTAGAGGTTAAGTAAATTTAAATGTTGAAAATATTTAAATTTAAATAAAATTTAAAATTTTAAAAAATAGAAAGCTAAAAAAATCATAACATCAATTCAATATGACAGTCTTCTTACCTATATATTATTCTACTGATAATAAATAGTAATAGATAAATAAAAATATTAAAATATAAATTTAATTAACTCATTAAAAGCTTAATTAATAGACTGATTCTTAAAGTTGATTTAACTTTTAATTTTTTAAATTTATTAATAGTATAATGATTTATTAATTGATTAACAAATATTAACGCTTAAATATCAAATAAGAATAACAATAGTAACAACACAAAATTATAATTAATAATTAATATTAATGTTATAAAATTAAATAATTTTTTTTAAAAAATTACATTACAAGAATGCACCGTATTTTTAAGTTAAAAAAGATTACTTAATTACACATAATCGTAACAACGAAAGTAAATGAAATTAAACATATAACATTTCTACACTTAAAAGAATAAGAAAATAAAATTTTTGTGATTGATTTGCTTTGATATAGGTTGATTTAAGGTTGTAACATATATACAAAATGAAATCCCATGACTCCTTTCAAAATTTCAATTCTAAAATTTAAAAAATGAAATTTAAATTCAAAATATAAATTCAAAATTCAAAATTTAAATCTAAATTTAAAATTTAAATTTAATTTCAAAATTTAAATTCAAAATTCAGCTCTCATTTCAAAAACTTTTTTTTATGATTTGACCTAATTTAAAACTATACAAAAAATATATATTGAAAACATTTTTATAAAATATATAATTATTTAAAGAATTTATGAATCATGTCATTAAAACTTGTTGACATTTATATGATACTTTAAAAATAATATTTATAATACATTTTAAAACTTATTTTTTATAATTTTTATAATTGATTATAATAAAAACAATTTATTTTTATTTTTATTATTTAAAAAATTTGATAATATTTAGTTTTCAATTAAAAATTATCTATTAATTTTTTATTTTTTAAAATTTAAAATATTACGTATTAAAGTCTAACAATTCAACTAAAAAAAATTGTATAATATTGTTACAAATACGTTGTGATGTTAAATTGACAACAGTTTAGCTCTGAAAATGTCAAACGGACAGAACTTGTAACTTTTACAAATAATTTTTTTAAAAGCTATATATAAAAGAAGTGTTTAGCTTTGAAAAGTTAATTATTAATATTTTTATTATATTTTATTTAAAAGATAACTTATTATATTTTTTTTTTTCCATTTTTTCATCTTTTTATTATTAATTAATAATAGTATATTTTGTCAAATAAAAATTAAATTAAGTAGATAAATAATAATATTAAAATAA